GTTTAATTTGGGAAACATTTCATTTTCACTAAAGGTAATTCATTATTTAAAATGGATATGGCTAGTAATTCGTTATTTAAAATGGGTATGGCTAGTAATTAAGATACAAATGGCTAGTAAAATGCTCAGAGTAGGTGTTCTTCATGAGTTTGACACTCATATGTCGCGAACTGAGTGGCGAACAAAATTCACCCCAATAAGATTAAATCGCATGTAACTGTATTTATTATTTTTCTTGTCCACTAAATTTACTCATATATCTCAATAATACTATATATTTTTTTAATTACCTTCATTCACACATTATTTTAAATAGTTTTTTTTTGGTAAAATTTTAATTTTGTTCCTATGCTTATAAGTTATTAACTTCATCGCCGTGTAATTTGTCTTTTAAGATAGAAATCTAATAGATGTTAAAAAAAAGATAGAAATCTAAGAAAAACTTTCCTCTTTTAAGATTTAACTAACTTTTCTGACCAAAAAGCTAACTCTATTTCGTACATTATCATTGATTTATTACCTTATTTTCTAGTCAAATAAGTTTAGTTCCGTTCTTACTATTTCCATCATAAGTAATCTCTTATTTTCTAGTCAAATATGTTTAGTTTCAGTTCTTACTATTTCCATCATAAGTAATCTAATTATATAAAAAAAATCTCTAAAGAACACATTTATTAGAATTTATCATTTTACACTTGTAACATATCCCATAAGTTGTTAAATAAATATATTGACATTTCTCTTTTAATCAGGTTGAACAGAAAAAGAAAAGAAAACACATTGACATATTTGGACAAATAATAATAATTTAAGAGCATCTCCATTAGCATCTATTAGCAAATATTAGGCACAGAAACCTAGGTATTTTCCCTAAATTTTGATGGATTGCTCCTTATATAAGAGACAAAGAGATTGTCTTTTACGCCAGGTGGAGAGCTGTGATTGGCTAAAAATTATTCTTTTTTTTAATGTTTTAATTTTTTTTTCTCTCTCTCCAAAAAAATATTAAATTATTCCTAAAAGACCCATAAATTGGAGTACATTAATGGAGATGCTCTAATGTCCTATCTCGTCTATAAAAGATGAGCTTGGTCTCAAATCACAATGCATTCAGAAGCTCTCTCCTTCACAAGCACCAATTAAAAATTCTCTCAGTGTTTTTCAGAAAGAGATTAGACAAAAATGTTCATCGAAAGCTTCAAGGTTGATTCTCCCAACGTGAAGTACACAGAGAATGAGATTCACTCAGTGTACGACTACCAAACCACTGAGCTTGTCCACGAGAACAAAAACGGTGCGTATCAGTGGACCGTGAAGCCAAAAACCGTGAAATACGAGTTTAAGACCAACACTCATGTTCCCAAACTTGGGTATGTGGTCTTTTCTAAAATCTTCGTACTCTAGATTTAAAATGTATATTTCTCTTTTATTGTTAGAACAACGACTCTTTTTTTTTTTGCTTTGTCTAATTTAATTTTGGCAGAGTGATGCTCGTTGGCTGGGGAGGGAACAATGGCTCTACTTTAACCGCTGGTGTTATCGCTAATCGCGAGTGAGTAAAACTTGTTCGTGATCCCTTAATTAGTCTGACAATATCTTAATTATTTTATAATACTGTTTCAAATGGGAATAAAGTTGTGTGTCTGTTTATTGCGGGTGGTTAATAAATTATTCATATTCGCGCAAATTGGATATTGAATAATGAACAAGTTGGGATTTATTTACTAAATTTCGATAATTAAAGAAAAAAAATAAATCAATTGGTGGCAGGGGAATATCCTGGGCTACGAAGGAGAAAGTGCAACAAGCTAACTATTTCGGGTCATTGACCCAAGCATCCTCTATTCGGGTCGGATCATTTAATGGCGAAGAAATCTATGCTCCCTTCAAAAGTCTCCTCCCCATGGTACAATATACACTACTTTGATGTTTTAATTTATTAGCTTTTATGCAATTTTAAAAATCTACTTTTTATATAAAAAAATTAACAGTTATTCAGTCTATCTATCACAAAGTTTAGATTGAGAAAATAAAATTTTTCTTTTTTTTTTGTAAAAATCGCATACTGTAAAATGGAAAAAAAAATTACGGTTTAAATGGATTTAAATTCCGAATATGATAGGTGAATCCGGCAGAAATAGTGTTTGGAGGATGGGACATAAGCGACATGAACTTAGCAGACGCAATGGCACGAGGCAAAGTCCTAGACATCGACCTCCAAAAGCAGCTGCGACCGTTCATGGAGCACATGGTCCCACTCCCTGGAATCTACGACCCAGATTTCATCGCAGCTAACCAGGGGTCACGTGCCAACCACTTGATCAAAGGCACCAAGAAACAACAGCTCGAACAAGTCATCAAGGACATCAGGTAACATAACATAACGCTTTATGTCACACAATTATTTTAGTCATTATTAATTCATTTAACAAGTGCTGGGTATAACAGACTTGCTATGGGTCTAGTCTAGGATGTAAGCCATTTCTAAAACGATCAGAAAGTAAAAGGAGGCTAACGTTAATATTTTAATTTTCAAAACCCAATATTTTGTTTTCAAAGCTCCAATTATTTACTCACTCTGTTCAGAATTATTTGATGTTTAAGGTTTTTGCACACAGTTTAAGGATTCATTTAATTTTTATTTTTCCTATACTAAAAATATTATTTATAATTCATTTAAATATCATTCAACCAATAAGAACGCAATCTGCAAAAGATTAAAGGTCAAAAACTATAAAAATTCATTAAATTTTGCATTAAAAAGTGAGAACATCAAATAATTCTAAACAAAAAAAACCTTCTAAAATATCAAATAATTCTGAACAGGGTTTATTTGGGGCCAAAAAAAAATTAATGCTGCTATAAAGATCTCGAAATTCCTTAGATGCAGCATGGTCGCTATTTACTAGAAACTCATCAAGTTTTTTCATAAATAATGAAATTATTCTATATATAGGGATTTCAAAGAGAAAAACACAGTGGATAGGGTGGTGGTATTGTGGACGCGAACACAGAAAGATACAGCAATGTGTTGGTTGGTCTTAACGACACGACGGAGAATCTAATGTCATCTTTGGACAAGAACGAGTCTGAGATTTCTCCATCTACGCTTTACGCTATTGCTTGTGTTGTTGAGAACGTTCCTTTCATCAACGGAAGCCCACAGAACACTTTTGTCCCTGGTAATTAAATAAACTATAGATGGGCGTATTAATCGTAGTCAATTTACTATAGTTAATCACATTAGATTAAGTTAAAATGTGTTTACATATATTACAGGGCTTATTGAATTGGCAATCAAGAGAAACAGTTTGATCGGTGGCGATGACTTCAAGAGTGGTCAGACCAAGATGAAATCTGTCCTCGTAGATTTCCTTGTCGGCGCAGGGATCAAAGTACGTAGTCATAAATAACTCTCTCTTAAAACTTATTTATATCCTAACATTTATATACAAACCAAAAAAAAAATTATTGGATTTATATGTACGAATGTTTATAATTATATAGCCGACGTCGATAGTGAGTTACAACCACCTTGGGAACAACGACGGCATGAACTTGTCGGCGCCACAAACATTCCGGTCAAAGGAGATATCGAAGAGCAATGTCGTCGACGATATGGTTGCTAGCAATGGAATTTTATACGAACCTGGTGAACACCCTGACCATGTTGTCGTCATTAAGGTGATTAATGCTATTTTTATTGTTGAACATAAATATCATATTTATACCTGATAAACAATATACATTACATAATAAAATGTAGAAGCTTCATAAAAGTAGCATAAATTTTTATGTAACGTATAAGAATGTACCGTTGGGATGGTGTTGCAGTATGTGCCGTATGTAGGAGACAGCAAGAGAGCAATGGACGAGTACACATCGGAGATATTCATGGGAGGGAAGAACACGATTGTGATGCACAACACTTGTGAAGACTCTCTCTTAGCTGCTCCTATTATTTTGGACCTTGTTCTTCTCGCCGAGCTCACCACTCGGATCCAGTTTAAGGCCGAAAATGAGGTTTGCTATTGTTTACTAAATCCTTAATAGTTTAGTGATTACGTTATCTTAAAATATAAAATCGATTGTATGTTTGTATTTGCATATATAGTTGAGAAAAATTGTGTGAAACAATCGAGGCATTAGTAATCTATCTAAATTTAATTTAGTGATCTGATTATCCAAAAAAAACTGTTGGATTGTGAATTCGATTTGTTGAGTTTTTCAGGAAAAGTTCCATTCTTTCCATCCGGTGGCTACTCTCCTGAGTTACCTCTCCAAGGCACCATTGGTAAGGGAAACAAAGCAAAAAACATCGTGTCGTTTTTGAATTCTTGCAACGTCATTAAATTACTCTCGGCTTTAATGAATGTAGGTCCCACCCGGCACGCCAGTTGTGAACGCTTTGTCGAAACAACGTGCAATGCTTGAGAACGTACTCAGGGCGTGTGTTGGACTTGCTCCTGAGAACAACATGATTCTCGAGTACAAGTGATGAAGAGATCAATCAATCCGATCAAAATCCAAGATTCGCCTCTTCGCATTGTTTGCTTTTTTTTTTTTTAATGTCCTTAAATGAATAATTACATTTTCAAAATGTAACTTTTGATTTCTTATTTACAAATATTATCCATGTTGTTTCAATATTTTTTTTTTAACATTAGTTTCGTTATCTAGCCGAGCCAAAATATTGGTATCTCGTGCTGAATTATAATCGTCTTCCCTTTTTTTTTACATCGAATTGAATTTGTCTTCCATCTTATTTAAAAGTCATAAAGTTAATTGAGGTTTGATATACATTTGTAGCTTTTTGACATAAAATGGTTATTCTGTTTTATTTGAGAACAAACTACACCAAAACTTATCTTTGTTTTAACACCACCAAGACGAATCCATTCGATGATAAATACCATCTTCAATCATATATATTAGAGTATTCGTTGCTTCTTTTCGTAAGTATATTAGTTACTTCTTTCTGAAAAAAATTAAGAGCTTGGTAGGTAATAATATTTTGATGACTAATGGTAAACGTTGAGGAGAAGAAACAACAGAAATTGGAGATAGAAATGAGGCTCAACTCAAATTTTGATAATTCGAAGACACAAAGGTAAGAAAAAAAAAAAGCAAGGGCATGATCACTCTTCCTTTCCCATAGCCATCAAGAACTCTCCTTCGCATACCACAGTGTTCCCTACGTATGCTTTCCCTTCCATTTTGGCTATCCCAAACCGCTTCTGCAGCTTCACAAGCGTCATCCTCATCACCAGAGTATCACCTGCAATCACAGGCTTCCGGAATCTGACTTTGTCGATTCCAGCAAAGAAGAAGTTGCTTTTAGACCCGCCTACTTCTGGTTGTAGCATCACTATACCTCCCACCTGAGCCATGGCCTATGGAAACAAAACAGGCTTCTACGGTTTCAAACTGTTGTTTACTATATACAACATGTGTAAAAATGAAACTCGAAAACTAATGGATGACGCTCTATGAAAAAAACTATACGTAGCTCTTACTAACTGCAACAATACATTATAGCGAGCCCTCATAATCATTGATTCCACACACTATACAAAGCTATGATCCAAGAAGATCCTTCAGAACAGCTTTTATTACTCTCAAATCCAGTCCCCTTTTCTAAAAATTCAAGCTTTAGAGGGCTCTATTAAAACTGAAACTTAAAATCAAAGCCTTCACCTTTAGTTCCCTCAAGAATCACCATTCAAAACCAACTCATCAACTAACTCGGTAGGTGAATAAGAAAAAGCATTCTACTTCCGGAAGCAAAATCAGAAATGTCTAAAGATCAAAAAAAAAAAAAAAAAAACTGAAGTTTGGAGTAAGAAGAGAATGTAAATACCTCAACCATGAGGACTCCAGGCATAATCGGCCTCTCAGGAAAATGCCCAGGAAAGAAATTGTCATTGATGGTAACGTTTTTAATAGCTACCGCAGATACACCAGCTGTGTACTCTATCACTCTATCCACTAACAGAAACGGGAATCTACACAACAATCCAAAACCAGATGATAATGCTGAAGAAATCGATTCAGAGAAATGAAACTCCAGCTAGAAAATTTGTACCTGTGAGGCAAAATCTCTCGTATCTTATTGATGTCCATCACCGTCGGAAAAGCCTCGTACCCTGAAAAATTCGGAATTGACATTCAAAAAAAAAAAAAAGCTGAAATTCGATTTGTAATCAGAATGCCACGAGAGGAAAAATTACTGAGTTCTATTGGGATCTCTTTCTCTGAGGTGCTATTCGATTCATCAGTGGAGCAAAAGACGAGCGAGCGGGATCTGGGTTTGGGACGAAACGCGACGGAGCTCGATCTGGTGACCGGAAGACTCAACGGTTGCGATACTGACTGGTGAAGAGAGATACGTGCAAGGTTTCGCGACGGGGCAGCGGTGAAAATGGAGTTGGATGCAGCCATTGCCGATCGATCGAGAGAGAATGGGACGGAGATTTCGAAGGTGAGTTTTGAAAGAGCTTCCAACGGAAACAATGGTGGTTGAAATGGGATAACTATATGGGCCTTTTTGTTTTATAAGCCCATTTGAGCTTTTTGTAACAAAGCCCACTCAATTTTTTGTACTCTCACCCTCTGTACATTTTTTTTTTGGGGTATAGATTCGTAATTTTCAACTATTTCTATTAATTTTTTGACGGTTCAACTGTTTCTACTAATAGAATTGTGAAAAGTCAATAAATTTGTGATAATTGAGACAAAGACACCACGTCATACCAACCACGCGCCTACATTGTATAGCTGCAACTACGAATACAGAAGCTGAAATTTACTCTACTCAGCTAAAATAAAAGGCTATTTACTATTCAACCGGATCTTCATAATATTACATGATCAATATCGAACTATAAGAATCGAAAGAAAGACCTGTGAAACTTGAAAATTGCATTATTCTAACAAAACTCTCATGCAATCAAATCATTTCGTCATACACATAGATAAATTTGCGATATACAGTATGCTAAAATTAGTAAAACAATTCAATGTTTTTTTCAACGTTTGGATTTTTAATTATCATTTGTTGCCTTTTTGTATATGATTGTTTCCACTCTATAACTCAGCATTTATTACTACGAGATTATTCAGAGAAAATAAAAGCTGACACTGCTATTTAGAAAATGCCAATGTTTTTGTTTGGTAGCTGGTGCCTGGTGGGGAAGTTAAGTAGATGGGTCACTCCACGCCCAGAGAACTCTGTTACGTTCATGCAAATGGGTAAAAAGAACAAATCCACATTCTCTGTTTCATTTATTACCATATTTCTTATTTTAACAACGATTTAATTGAATTTAAGAGATGACAGTACTGTGATTAACATAATATAACTACAGTAGATTTATAGTATACGGTGTTGAATTTGGGAAGAAAAAAAGATTGTTGAATTAACAAAAACTACAAATATTCAGAATCATTTGAAAAAGAGATTTTAAGACCCGATCCATAAAATGTTTTACCCTTTGCAATGATCTGTCATACTGGTCTCTTTTTAACGGATGTAATGAGAAGTACAGTACACGAAAGCAGAGCAGCCCTCACGTGTCTTCTTTAGTTACCTAGATTCTGGAGCTCTTTTATCTTAAAGACTTTTGGGGGTGTGTAGTTAAATAAAAACAAAGAGAATTTCAAATTTTATTATTTAAAGAGGTCATTAAAAGTCAAAACTTCCATTTGAAGCACGGTGATCTTGACTCATCGCCACCTCTGGAACAACTTTTGTTTTGGATCTTTTTATCCAAATTTAGACAACGAAACAATTAAATGAGGTTAAACGTTCGACAATACAAGAACATCATTAATGACACATTTGCTCAACCAAGTCTTATAAGTTATAATTAATTGGTAAAGTGTAATTTTTATGTATGTTGTGTTGTGTGGGTCAAAAGCATGGGACCAAACTGGTCTAATTCTATCAAGACCAAACCGAGTTAACCATTTACGATTAGGACTTCGCACGAATTTGCACAAAGGCCAAATCCTACCATACCGGATCGGGCTCAATCCAATTAATATTTCATAATTTCACAATTTTATTATTGTTCGGGTTAGATGAAATTCGTTTTGGTATTTAACTGCACCTTAAGATTCAGGTTGAACCGGATCAAAATCCTAAAATCTAAAGCTGGATAAAATTTTATAATGGACCGGATAATCCTACTGTACGACCAGGTAGATATTTAAGTTACCGAGTTCCATAGAAAGTAAAGCCAAGTCGTTGTCAGTTCTGGTTGGGCTCTTCTCCAATGCCAATTCGGTTGTATCTGAGAGAGGCCAATTCACACACATACGTTTTCTTATATATATATATATATATATAAACAACAGTCTGTGTGTCAATAATTCCTATCTCTTGTCCGGACATAGACACAAAAGATGGAAGCTGTAAGAAGCAGAAGAGGCAGAGAGAACAACAAAAGTCCAGAGAGGTTAATAAGGTCTTTGAATCATCAGCAAGAAGATGAAGAAAAGGCCAAGACAAAGAGACCAATCTTCAGAAGAGTCCAAGTCGTTTATTATCTCACAAGAAATGGCCATCTCGAACACCCTCACTTCATCGAAGTCATTTCTCCGGTTAACCAGCCTCTCCGGTTAAGAGGTAAATACCCAAAACAATACAGAGAGAGAGAAATCAATATAACCTGTTTGTAGACCATGGGGTGCTCTAATTAGTGTTTATTTTGGGTTTAGGTTCTGATTAGTGTTTTGGTGTCATATGCTAAAGTTACATTTTTTTTGTTTGGGTGTACATCAATGGTTATGTGATGAACCGGTGTATTGATCATGGGTTAGTGTTTTCATATCAATTTGATGTTAAAGGCTCCATTTTTTTTTTGGGTATGTGTCTTAATGAAGATGTGATGAACCGGCTTACGGTTTTGAGAGGGAATGGCATGCCATCACTGTACGCTTGGTCATGCAAAAGGTAACGCTTTAAACTGAGGCAAAATATGTAATCAAAGGCGAGATATTTATGCACTTTATATCGATATTTTACCAGGAGCTATAGAAATGGGTTCGTGTGGAACGACTTAGCCGAGAACGATGTGATTTACCCGTCGGACTGTGCTGAGTATGTGTTGAAAGGATCTGAAATCGCCGGTAAGTTAAAATAATCGAAAATCATACTAAATTCTTGAAATTTGGTGGGTTTTCGACAATTGAGTTATGTTTTTCTATAATTTGTATTGTAGAGAAATTTGAAGAGGTACAAGTGAACAGACCATTGTCGAGTCCAGTTCAAGAAGCTCCAAAAGTTCGACTTCTCAGGTCAAAACTGAAACCTCAAAACAGAACGACGTCGTTTGATGACTCTGAGCTCTACGTCGGAGAAGAGGAAGAAGAAGAAGAAGACGGAGAGTACGAACTCGACGAAGAGAAAACGAGTTATACATCTTCCACGACGCCGCAGTCTCACTGTTCTCGAGGCGTTTCGACGGAAACGATAGAATCCACCGAGAAAAAACCGAACTTGATAAAGACAGAACAGGGTTTGCCGGTCCGTTCTGACCTGACCGAGTTGACTCGTTCTTACCCAGTGGAACCCCGTGGAGTCGTCGTTTCGGAGCGGGTCGAAGACGGAGATCCGGTGGATCCTGGATCGGTTCGTGGGTCGATATGGCTCCAGATGATCTCTTGCGGGCACATCGCCAAGCAATACGCTCCGAGTCTGATGCATTCGAGACAAAAGGAAGAGAATCTTCGTAAAGGGGTTTTGTGCAAGAACATTGTGAAGAAGTCTGTCGTTGAAGACGAACGCGAGATGATAAAGTTCATGTCGGAGAATCCAAGGTTCGGGAATCCTCAGGCGGAGGAGAAAGAGTATTTCAGCGGGAGCATCGTTGAATCGGTGAGTCAAGAACGAGTCACGGACGAGCCAGCTCTAAGACGATCCAACTCATTCAACGAGGAAAGGTTAGTAATCTCTCAGACCCGAGGCAACACAAGACGAGTCGATATGAAATGGAAGAAATGAAATTTACTAACTTTTAAATATTTGAGCAGATCAAAGATTGTCCATAAGGCTAAGGATGCGAAGAAGAAAGAAGAGAAAGAAGAAAGATCGATCGTGAAGGTGAAATGTGTACCGAGAAGGAAGAGCTCATCGTGTCTAATGTGATCATCGAAGCAAATCAAGGAACAAAAAACAAATCAACATTAAACTGACGAATGATTTGATTATTAAGTATATTAGTATTTAATGCTACAGGTGGTAGATGCTGTATATGGCAATGAATTCTAATGAGTAATGACTAGATGTGGCTGTTTTTATTATCGGAAATATATTTTTCCACTTTATCACTATTGTTTAAAAACAGTTGAAAATGGCAAAATCCGTAAATCGACTTGCAATATCATAAAATAAATTTAAAGAAAAATGCAAAATCTAAATTACAAACAAATGAGCATAAATTTTCATCTATTAAAATTTCTAATTTAAACCTTTATGTTTAACTGGTTATTGGTAGAATCTTAATCTTTTTTACAATTTAATTAGTTTTGATCAAAAATTTGTAAATCATTTATGCTTTGAATTTATTTTATGACTATAGATTTAAAACTATGTTGTTTGTTTATCTGTTAACTTATTTAACGTCGTTAAACATAAGGATTTAGATGATGGTTTTCTGCTCATCATCTTAGTTTCTTACATAGGTTTGGTCTTGTATTTTTTTTAAGTTGGAAGGTTTTTTTTTTTTTTTGCATTTTCCCAAAATTTCAACCTTATAGAATCTGCCAAAGTGATATTATCTTGTCGTGTTCCAAAATTGAAAGTTGAAAGTTCTATGGCGAATTAATGTATAAATAAAAATTTAAAACACGTAGATGCCTCTGAATGGATGATTGACAATTTGACATATCCAGAACATGGAAAGCAGGGGAGATGATTGGATATAAACCATGCTGTACATTCACCCATCGATTCGTATAAGTACTTTTCGCATTACGTTTTTAATAACAGTATAGTTTGTGTAGTCTTAAGAAACGTTCCAAAGGGTTACCAAAAACATTTTCCTTTTTCTACCGACAATTTTCCATCGTGTAGAAAAATTCCATCATCTAACATTTTTTCATCATATAGGAAAAAAAATTATCATGGGTTTTTTATTTAACTAATTTATAAGGTCAACAATTTTTTTTATTTAACTAATTTAAATTACTTAATAGTGTTTCTTTTTAAGATTATTTTCGTATATTACATCATCATATTCACTAAAAACAATAAGAAATATAGCATTTTGTCCATGCCAAATGCTGTAATAAAAAAACAAACAATCGTTAATACGATTGGTTGTTAGGATTGGCCTCAACCCAATATCCGCAAAAAAATTTGATAGTGCTTAAGTTTCTATGCATAATATTCAATAAATCTTAATGGATTTTGATTCATGCATGTTTAATCCTAAAAATGGGTCTGACTTGTATGAAATCTATTTTTTTAGTATTGCGAATTCATGTTTAATCCTAAAAATGGATCTGACTTGGATGAAATCTAATTTTTAATATGCAAAACTGACTTAATATTATAGATTATCAACATAGACATGTTTTATCGAAAAAGATGTGGGTGATGACAAATAAAGACTCACATATGTTGGAGGATAGTAAACTAAGTTTTATAGTAATTTTTTCTCGGCTTATAGACAGTTTTTTAAAGTAAACTTTTTGTGCTGAGTTTTTAGCCCAAAAATAAAAAAAATAAAATAACATTTGTGCTGAGTAAGCCAATTGAAAGTTTTTGTAGGTTTGCTTTAGGTCAAGTTATATTATATAGGTGAGTTACGTACTAACGTTAGGTAGAAAACAATTCAAAGCACTAGTTATAATTGTCTAGATCTGGTGGTAGTCAAGAGTTTGAGTTAGGAAAGAAGATCAGAGAACAAATGTTTGAATTCATAGCGAAGGATATGTGTTGTTTATGTATAAGTTTTAGTAGTGCATGTGCTAATAAGTACTTATCTCGTAATATATGTGTTTTCTTTTTTTAAAATATGTGTTTTCTTTTGTTGTTGTTGTCAACAGTTGTGCATTTGTTTAGATATACATTTCCATTGATATATTTATTTGACAAAACATATGGACAAAAGTGGCTCTACCCAAAGCCAGCCAAAAGAAGAATACACACAGAAAAATTCCCAAGTATTTGCGATTTACCCATATATAACTTGAAAATGCTATTGTAGGCAAACATCAGCCTAGCCATATACATACTACATGTACAATTGACGCCTAGTCTACCGAGTAAAAAATGTAGATTTCAAAAAAAGAAGCAATAAAACAGATTTAATATGTAAAGTTAATTATTCAGATTAATTTGGCTCTAGAACCCATGTTTTTGAAGTTTAATTGAATGGATTAAGTTTTTGACCAATAGGGAAAACAATAATTCAGATTAAAAGAAATGGATAAATGTGGGAGAAAAAAAACTATAATTTTTGGTGATACAAAACTAAACGCAAAAACTTAATTAATTCTTCTTTATTAAAGCAAATCAATGGCCAATATGCCATAATTTAGAAAACAAAAATCTACCGTGCCATAAATAAGTCTAGATGTCATAATACATATGCAATTCTGATTTTACCCTTAATGAAATAAAATTGTGGCATTTTTGATTTTACCCAAAAATTAATGTTGAAATAAATTCATAATTAATATATTAACATTAAAACGAAAATTAATAAAAATACGATTTTCTTTTTCTCTTTTCTTTTCAATTTTTCTTTTCTTCTTCAACCTCAAATCTGCCAAATCTCGTCTTCCTCTTCCTCCTCTTCTGCTGCAATCAATTCATTGTTCTTAACTCTTTTTTATTCTGTCATTATTGAAGCTTTAAAACTGGGTAGATTGTTCTTATTTCACAATTTAGAGATTTCAAAATTTAGAGATTGAATTTACAAAATTTGCTTGTTTTGGTAACCAGATTCGGTTGGGAACCAAGTTTTATATGAAGATTAGGTCTTTGCATTGGTAATTTGTCGAGTTTAGTTTTTAAATCATAGTGATTCTTAGGTAGTTTAGAATTGAAACCCGAGTTCATCACCAAATTTGCAGAGGAGGACAACTGGTACAAATGGTACAACTAAGAAATAGATGACAACTGGTACAAATGATATAATTAAGAGGTAGAGGACAACTGGTACAAATGGTACAACTCAGAGATAAAAGACAACAGGAATAATTGTTAATTGAGTATTTTTTATTCTATGTTTATGAGATAATGATCATCAGCCACACAAACATTTTAATAGATTTCAAGATATTTTATCTATGTTATATTATTTACTATCTCATATTTGGAGCATATAACTTATTTCATCTATGTTATATTGTTAATCATGTTATGAAAAAAAAAAGGCAAAATATATGATTTTACATAATTTGTAATATGAAAACCTTGTAAATGAAATTAATGGTTGAAAATCAATATAAACTCTAAAATCTAAAAAAAAAATAATTAATAAGATTTTCAGACAACATGACAATTAGGTACAATTATGTAGAAAAATTGACTGTGCACATAGGTGTATGTGTTACATTGGCAAACATCTCGACACTTAGGAAAATCAATCTAGTCTAGAAGATTTCATTTTTGGCTGAAAATGCTTTCTGGATAGAAATAAACAAGGTACAACTGGACATGTATGTACAACTATACGCAATTCTTTAATTAGAAAATAATAATAATAACAAAATTATAAATATAAAAAGAAAGCATTTACTTAAAAAATACAAAATGTCAAAAAAATTAAGGAATAAAATTAAAAAGATGGATAATATGAAATTATCATTTTTCTAATACATATTATTGGTTTCACATCAAACACCTCTTATGATACAATGAAGACATTGATAATGTTAACAATCTTATGATGAAAAATAGGCAAAATTATAATTTTGCATAAATTTTAGTATGAAAATATTGTGAATAGACTACAGTAGTCGAAAATAATGTAGACAACTACAAAAAATAATAATTTATATTAAAGGACAACTAGAAAAATGTTAAAATCGCCAAAGGACAACTATGAAAATTTTGGACAATTGGACAATTATGTACAACTATGTACAAAATTGACGGCGCACAAAGTACTTTGACTGCGCACATGTCTATTTTATCGGGGGCACATATTCTCTAATTTTGTGGATGTGAATAAGTAAGGGACAATTGGACAAGTAAGGACACTTTATGCAACTCCTTAATCTTTTAAAAATTAATAATTAATTTAATTAGATATATAAAGAAAATATATACTTAATAAAAACAAACATGTCTTAAACTATAAGGAACAATATTAATAACATGGATAAAATAAAATTATCATTTTCCTAATATATATTATTGGTTTCACATCAAATATCCCTTATGATATAAAGAAAACTTTCATAATGTTAACAATCTTTTGATGGAAAAGATGCAAATATATGATTTTGCATAATTTATGTTATGAAAACCTTGTAAATGAGCTGCAATAGTAAAAAATCATGTGGACAACTACAAATTAATAATTTATATTACGGGACAACTGAAAAAATGCTAAAATCGTCAAAAGACAACTTTGAAGAATTTTGGACAACCAGACAACTGAGTACAATTATGTACAAAATTGACGGTGCACGTAATACTTTGACTGCGCACATGTCTATTTTTGTCGGGGCATGTGTTCTCTAGCTTCGTGGATGTGAATAAGCAAAGGACAACTGGACAAGTAAGGACAACTTTATGTAATTAAATTATATTAAACATATAAAGAAAGTATATACTTAAAAAATGCAAACACATCTTAAACTATAAGGAACAATATTAATAACATGATTTTGCATAATATATGATTTTGCATAATATATGATTTTGCATAATTTGTGTTATGAAAACTTTGTAAATGGTTTTGCATAACATTCTAGTTGTATGTTTTGTGCTCCTTTAAGCTGTCTTTCTATTTGCATTGATGAAGGCATGTGGGACCTTGTTATGACGCAGGCTGCACAAGAGTTTGGGTCTGAGCTGAAGATGGGAACCTAAAGATACTCATTTCTTGTAGTAATGAGCAACAAAAAAAAAAAGAAGTTTCATCGTGCTAAAAGGATAATATATAAATGAAGATAAGATTTTAGACTTACTTGAATTGAATCTATAAAGCTCACACATTGCAAAACATTCAATTTTCAACACTAATTAAACATATGATTAAAAAAATAAGACATATTACACATTTAAGAAAACTATCATAAACCGTATAAGTTTCAGGACAGCAATCCTATATTCGTAAAAATCATTCCTGAAAAGTCAAGAAAATCCTAAAATTACTTGTTATTGTATCTACAACAATTTGTGCAATGAGTTTAGATCAAATACTGTTTTTGAAGAAGTAGAGTAATATTCCTAAGAAAATTGACTCCATGATGTTCGAATTGAATCTATAAAGCCTATACAACATTCAATTTTTAACACTAATTGAACTTAAGATAAAAATACAAAAAAATTAATAAGGCGTTTTACACATTTTGGAAAACTATCCTAAATCGTATAAGTTTTAGAATGGCATTCCTACATTTATAAAAATCATTCCTGAAAAATCAAGAAAATTCTAAAATTAGTTTTATTGTATTTACAACAATTTGTGCAATGAGTTTAGATCGAGAAAAAGTAGAGTAATCCTCATAAGAAAATTGGCTCCATGGTGTTGAAATTGAATCTATAAAGCTCACACTTTGCAAAACATCCAAACATTCAATTTTTAACACTAATTGAACCTAAGATAAAGATACAAAAAATTTAGTAAAGCGTCTTACACATTTAAGAAGATTATCTTAAATCATATAAGTTTTAGGAGGACATTCCTAAATTTGTAAAAATCATTCTTGAAAAATAAAAAAAATTCTAAAATTACTTGTTATTGTATCTACAATAATTTGTGCAATGAATTTAGATAAGTAGAGTAATTTTCCTAGGAAAATTGGCTCCATGGTGTTGGAATTGAATCTATAAAACTCACATCTTACAAAACATTCAAACATTCAATCTTTACATTAATTAAACCTTAGATAAAAATTCAAAAAATTAGTAAAGTGTTTTACTCATTTAGGAAAATTATCCTAAACCATATAAATTTCAGGAGGACATTCCTAAATTTGTAAAAAATCATTCTTGAAAAAAGTTAAGAAAGCATCAGAAGCATTTATAAATATTTAGAAAAAGTTCATACAAATTTAAGAACATATTCTTTATAATCAAGTCTTTTGTGCCTATTTATACAACTCAAATTTAAGAAGTTAATTCAATTTTTTTAGTAGAACCTTACTTTCATTATAAAGAAACTAATCTGTTAAAAAGGTAAAACACGAGTAAAAAGAAACTAATTCTTGCAAAAAAAAAGAGATATTCAGAGCCTACAAAGACGATAATAGGTACGAAAAAAAATTTCAAACGTTGACGCTTGGGGATACTGTTATGTGTTTCATCCAAACAAGCAGAATTTTATATAGGTATCGATCAAAGACTTCCTCATCTCATCGACGATAGAGCTGGGTTGAAGAGGTTGTCTATAACATAGAGATCTGTTGCGGTTTTGTCTGAACCGCAGCAAGCTATCCAATCATTAACAGTTATACCCGCAGAAAGGTGTGAGCAAGAGCAACATGGACAATGCAGGCAATGCAATTTCCAAGAGCAGACAGTCATTTCTCGATTCTCTAGACCCCAACTTGATCAGGTAGACTGTTCCTCAAGTGTTGAAGCTCTGTTCAAGTGTTGAAGCTCTGTTAGAAAAGAAATCACAAGTACAATTCAGGAGATGCAACCATGCTACAGACCACATCACCACTATATTCAAATGTCAAGAGAACAAAAAGACTCGTCTGTAACACAACATTAAATTCCTCAATAATAATAGATGGAGGAGAAAACCATCTTCACCAAATTGCATATTTATACGAAGCCACTCATAAATAGCCGGTACAAAATGTTCTGCCATGTTGCATAAAAGGTATTCAGCAAAGAACTATCTCTATATATGTCAATAAGAACTATCTCTGTTTAAAGTCTTTCAAATCAGAGACTACTAATGCACGATAAAGGGATATATAAAGATTGTCAAAAGGTATATATAGAGATACTCCTTTGAAGCCATGGAACTCACTAAGACTTCCATGGGTACGTCATCCAAACTTAACTCCACCAAATCTTCTTCTAACAAGAACAGGAGCAGCATAGAACTCAAGCAGCACAATTCCGGAACCAATTCCTCAAATTCAACAAATCGATCAAAAAACCAGCGGATCTGTACAGATCGAGCTCGGAATTACTACATTCCTCAAAAATATTCGATTTGATGTACTCTTTGACTCCATTCATCAATGGTATTCCTCGTTTGTACTTTTGCACATCCCTACAAACGCCAGAATTTAAAATAGAGATCGATTTCACATTTGACAATTAGAAATGCGAATCAAAAACTCAGCCCTAAATCTTTACCTCGATCAACAGATTTGCGATCAGGGAAAAGGATTCTCTCTTTCATTTGTAGCTGCGTGTAGTTCTGTACGAATTTACAAATCTCAACTTCGTCGTCTCCACCAATGGATCCACTTCTCTTTTGCCTCTACGAGCCGCCAGATTCTCCAAAGGCAGAAGAGCTTGTGAGTGGAGATCGGAGACGGTGGAACACCACAAAGCCTTCGCCTTTCTTCTTTTGGTGATGAAAATCGAAAGTTCTCTCTCCTTGTCAGATCTGATTGTGGTGTCGCCGATGAAAGATTCGATGATAATTTTTCCGACGACGCGAATAAGAAATTTTTGCCTAAGTGAAAGAGACGACGACAACAATCGAATCTCTTTTTCTTTCTTTAATTGCTTTTCTTCTTAATGAATGCTAAATTTGGCAGTTTCCAAATGTGGGGTTAAATTTGTGAAGTTTTAGTTTCTTAGGGCTATTTTTTAGAATTGCCCAATAAATAATCAAAAGAAAAAAAAAGTTCTTTAGACTCTTTAATTATAAAATAATGTTAGTTGGGTCGGGTTATCGGATAAGCCTGAAATCAAGTGGATATGATCCTGGTATTGTTGTAATTTAAGAGACAAGTAAGGGAAATGATAGAATTTTTCAGGATTTTCGTTATTAAAAATAAATCAAAATGAAATTAATTATTAGGCTTATCCGATACTTTTGAGCCTTCTTTTTCCTGGATTCTGGCATTTTATCCTCTCGCTCCAAGGGAAGGGGCAAGACGAAAAGAGAAACGCCACGCGTCCACAGGGAATTTGTCATGCGGTACACGTGGCTGTCTCGTCACTAAAACGCATCGTTTTCGCATACATGTTTTATTTTCCTCACTCTCGTTTACCCCAAAACAAAAAAAAACTAACCCTAAGTAGCAAAAGGAAGATAGTCACCAAAAAAGAAAGAAATAAAAGGAAAAAAGGAAGAAACAAAAAAAAAAATAAATAAAAAACGCTCAGTATCTCTGGCGACTTGAACCGTACCTGAGGATCAAATTAGGGCACGGAGGCCTCTCGGAGACAGAAGCCATGGGAAGGAAAAAACTAGAAATCAAGCGAATTGAGAACAAAAGTAGCCGACAAGTCACCTTCTCCAAACGACGCAACGGTCTCATCGAGAAAGCACGTCAGCTTTCTGTTCTCTGCGATGCATCCGTCGCTCTTCTCGTTGTCTCCGCCTCCGGCAAGCTCTACAGCTTCTCCTCCGGCGATAAGTACGCCTTCTCCTGTTCTGGGTTTTACGTTATTTCCCCCTTTAAGCTTCGGTTTTCTGAGAAAATAAAAAAAAATTATCAAAAAAATTAAAAAAAAAAAAAGTAAAAGAAGCTTTGATTTTTCGGGCGAATCTCTTGTGATTTTCTCGGTTCTGTGTTCGCTACTGTGTTTTCTATGGCCATGAGACATACATGAGATGAGTCACCTAATTTAAGGAAGAACAATGTCGTGATGAACTAAAGCTTCTTACTTTTTTTCGTTTTTCTCTCTTCCGTTTTTTTTTTGTTTTCTTGATATTTTCTGCATGGATTTTATTTTTTTGTAAAATATTTACATGTTCCTTCAAGATCTTTCGATACGTTGTGATGCATACTTGATGTTGTTTAGTGAAGTTTCAAGCACTTTGATCAGTTGTAAATTGGCTTTTGCGGATTCCTTATGTTTCTGAAGAGTTGTCTATCAGAATAAAATTAACGATTAGTGTTTCTCTTTTTAGCGTCATTAAAATCTTTGGATCTCTCGGATTTGTGTACAATGCAATGCACTTCGGGGAGATCTAGCTATCATAGCAAATGCTGAATAATAGATCAAGAGTTTGGATTTGAATATCTGCCACATTGTCGACGAGCTATTGACTAAAATAGTTAATTGTAGATCTTCTAAGAATTTCTTTCTTTACCATGGATTGGTTACTTGAAGATAATCCTAATTAAGGTTCTAATTGACTTCTTTTCTTTTCATTTATAAACATCATAATTTCGAATTTAGGTGGATTTAAGAAAAATATCAGCCTCACAAACTGTACTTACCGCACCTATGCTACATCACTTATGTGATCCGGTATTGATTGCGATTCTGTTAATCACAATCGTTGTGTGCATATATGATACTTTGTGCAGCACATATTGTGCATCAAGTGGTCTATTTTAATTTAGACGAGTTAAAATTCATTGTTTTCTTGGATTTGTATGTACAATGCAATGCACTTCTGAGAGATTTGCTGAAACAACAATATGGGGTTAATGGTAAAATAGATCAATAACTTTGGTTATGATGTGTGCAGCATTGTGTAACTACTGACTAAAAGATTAATTTGTATATATACGATTTTCCAGGAATTTCTCTCCTTTAATTGTTATAGATTTGTTTCTTGAAGATTCTCCAAAGGTTTCTAGTTTTTTTTTTTTTTTTTTAGCCGTTAAAAAAAAAAAATGGTTTCTAGTTTTTAACCCTCGCATTTACCGCTATATGTGCTACATAATTGTGTAACTTGATATTGCTCTTAATTTATCTTATAACCATTCTGTACATATACAACACTTTGTTCCTTTTGTTTTGCAATGTTTTCATCTAACGTTGTAGCCTTGGTAGTTGAAATCGACAATTAATCTCACAACCTTGTAACTCTTGTTGACTTATTGTGAATATTGACAATCACACAACTTTGTATCTTGTGTCTTATGTCATGGAAATTGGCAATAACATGCCCCTTGTATCTTTGGCGCCTCTAGGAAATCGAGAACCCTACAGAAAAACTTTTTGTCTTCATGGAAGAAATACCAACTGCTCTATAATGAATCAATATGATCCTACATTGTCAAAATTAAATTTGGTGTAGTGTATACTAAAACCTCCAATATTTACCAAGTCATTGTAGTGGTTTGGACGTATTGATCAAGGTCTCAGGTCGATTTTCACTAGATGCATACTTTGCTAGAATTTGTTCACGCCTTATACTGAATGCTAGGAACCTAAGGCTTTCAGGACGTAAAAACCTTAGCCACTCGATAACTCATTTGTGCATTCTGGATTATGGTGCAAAGAGCTTAACTTCACAGGATTTGAAACTATTAACACAAACTGTTAAAATGAGTTAGTGGAAATTTTTGTCAAATTTGCTTTGACTTCTAAGGTTATAAATAGAAATGTGGTTTTAGTCCCCCCTAATGTTGTATGTCTTCAGTCGTTTCCTTCTATGGAATATATATCTATTTGTGTATATATACACACTCGTAACCCTTAATTGTTTATTTGCATTTACGTTTGCGGTTGCATATCCATGTTATTATAACATGGAAGCACGAACATAAATGAAAAGAAACAATCGGAACTGTTGAGGCAACTCAAAGTGTCTTGACATCAGATTGGGGTTCTTATGTACCTTATTTAGTTTTACTTTTAAGTGAAAGCCAGCGCTGGAAATGAATTAATAGGTTAATGGATAACATATGCAAGTAGTTATAATGACTTTTCCTTGAGGAAGAATTTCATTCTCAATTTGTCGAAGTATATAATAAATACATATAAACCCACAAAATCTATTGAATAATCAAACTTCGACCAATTCTTAGTAAGTTTAGTGATATTTTTTGGTTATTTATTGAGGGATAAAAATATCTTATCTATCATCAAGAAAAAAAAATAGAAGTGGAAATCTAAAATGTGCTGCTGCTAAACATGAAGACTACAGTTTTTCTGAAATGTTAATTGTAACGTTTTGTTTATAGTCTAAATGTCTCTTCTGATGCCATACACATGCTTTCCAGTGGACTTTTCAAGGGTTAGCTATTAGATTTGCTCCTAACATATTTTTATCCTTTTTTTCTTCTCTCCAGCCTGGTCAAGATCCTTGATCGATATGGAAAACAACATGCTGATGATCTTAAGGCCTTGGTAATACAGACCTTTTCATTTATTTATCTCTGATGCATGCTGCATGCATGCCGTTTTTTTTTTTTTATTAAGAATAGACAGCAAAAAAAAGAATAGACAAGGCCTAGAGAGTTCCATACTGGTCAGAGCCAACTCATAGCCTCAATTTTCAGCTTGCAATTTGCGGGCATTGGCTAACACGCATTTATATCGTTTGCACATATATAGTTATTTTTTGGAGCTGTAGTTATTAAAGGTTGTTTTCAAGTCCATCAAATAGGTTACTGAGAGATTAATGCCCCTTTAGGAATAACTGTTCGACAGACATGAGTAACACATGTTTAGCACCTTAAAATTGTGGGAATCTAGGTAGAGGTATTGCATTATTGATCCACATATGAGCTATTAGTTTGCCGAATGATTCTATATATAAGGTTGTGGATCCGGGTGCATTCCCAATTTCTCAAAGCCATTATCTTTTACCGCCTCTTCTATTCCTTCTCTGTGGACAGGATCTTCAGTCAAAAGCTCTGAGCTATGGTTCACACCATGAGCTACTAGAACTTGTGGAAAGGTTAGTATACTAACTTAGACTAGTTTTACGCTCCTCCTTTGATCACAAAGGACTTAGGGTTTCTTGTCAATCTATGAATATATGCAGCCAGCTTGTGGACTCAAGTGTCGATAATGCCAGTGTCGATTCCCTCGCTCAGCTGGAGGATCACCTTGAGACTGCCCTCTCCGTAACTAGAGCTAGGAAGGTACGTTAATTTTATAAAGTCTTCTCTTTTCTTGCTTTGTTTAACGAGTACGACCGTGCGCTTATATTTATTTTGCTGCAGACAGAACTAATGTTGAAGCTTGTTGATAGCCTCAAAGAAAAGGTTAGATACCTGCTTCCAAGTTTATTTCCCTTTCGATATATATCTTCTCTTGTGTTGAGAGCCTCAAAACACTTGTGTGTTGTATTAGTTTCTCTAAGTGTGCTTTATGAGCTTTCAAACTTTTTGACAATGCATCTAGACTTCTTGGGGATGATGCAAATGTTTTGTATTCTGAAGCTTAAAAACTTGATTGGTAATTGATGAACATGTTCGTCTTTAAAAACAGGAGAAATTGCTGAAAAGAGAGAACCAGGTTTTGGCTAGCCAGGTAACGAAAGCTACATTATAATAATAATTTTGTATAAGCTAATAAGCACTTTTTCATATATACATGGACATAGATACATACTCTTGCAGATATACCGATAGATATTGCATTTTAAGCACTCACTGGAGTGTCTTGTTGTCTCGAAAAATTCTCAAGATTTGGTATATCGGTTTTTGGTTAGATTTGATTTATTTAGGTTGGTGAGAATATTACTGAATGGTAAGCAATATTTAATTGGCCTGGCAAAAATTTTGTTTCGGTTTCAAATCAGGATTTTTTATTAAAAAAGGTGAAACCAGTTATTTTAAGTTAGTAATTTCTTAATAAAAGTATATATATATTATATAGGGTATATGAAAATAGTCTAAATCTAATTGTAAAATTAAAATATTAAAATAATGTTTTTAGATATTAATTAAATAGTTTAATTTTAGCCTAAACCCTAAAAATAATTCCTAAAATCTAAATCATAAACCTTACACTTACAACATAAGTCTTAAACCCTAGAGCCTACAAAACAGTCTCTTTCATTTTTAAGAGATGTAGCCTGATTTTTTTTTCTTTCCTTGGGTATTTTCCCAATTATCTACCCAATAAAGCCAGTATTTGAAAAAAAAAAAGTTTATGAGTATTTTAAATTCATGACTAGAAAGATATTATGTAAATTATATGTATTATTGATATATCATTTTACTAAAAATCATTTTCCGCCGTTGGATATAATGAGATTTAAGATTTATGGAACGGATTGGGTTTTTTATGGTTTAGGTTGAGTTAGGATCCGACTGGTTAGGTTCAAGTATTTAGTCCTAGGTTTTACTTGTTCAGGTTAATTATAAACTGGAAAAAGCTAGATACCTGCATGCTTTGGAGAAAGATGCTAAAAGCTCGAAAAAGTTAAAAGAAAAACAATACCGACAAATTATATGAGGATGATTTGGTATATGTATTTTGATGGTAATTGTTAGTTTTAACTTTCAATTGGTGGTAGGGAAAGAGTATTCCTTGGGAAACTAAGAAATATCAGACAAAAATAGAGAAGTGAGTAGGGGTTTTGACCGACCTATAATTATCTTACAGATGGAGAAGAATCAACATGTGGGAGCAGAAGCTGATAATATGGAGATGTCGCCTGGACAAATCTCCGACAGCAATCTTCCGGTAACTCTCCCACTGCTTAATTAGCCACCTTTAACCGGCGGTTAAACCATCGTAAACATGTATTTCAAAAAAATGAAAAAAAAAATAAGATATGTAATTATTCCCCCCTGATAAGGGTGCACGTTGTATATCTTACTCTCTTTGGCTGAGAGAATTTGGGTCACTTGTGTGTAAAACTATTTTAGATTTAAGTGAAAACAAAATCTATTTGAGACAAGAGTATGTAACTTTGTACCTTTTTCGAGAGAGAATTCTTCAGTTCTTTGTGTTCTTCCGTTCCGCCAAAAACTTGTGTTTGCTTCAGGGTGAAGAAGCCTACGGCTTATTTTGCAATCGAAACGTGGCCGTCTCTGCTTTTTTCTGATATTTTGTCTCAGTTTTAATTTAAAACGCGTATGGCTGTCATGGGTTTCTATGGGCCCTCGTCGGTCACCTGCGGCCCAATGGGTTTAGATTAATTGCTTTTAACGTGACCGACCTCTTCCATATCAGCACTTTCCACTAGATGCACGCCCCTAAAATAATAATCATTTTTTTCTTTGGTTGACAGCAATCATAGTCGTTTATAGTAAACCATACGAAGTTTATATAAAAAATAGAGAACTCATTTTACCACATTCTAATTTCATCACATCAAAGGCTTTCCGATGTCTGCATTCTGAAATGATTCATCAACCGTTTATGCTTTTTATATATAAAAACTGATTAATCGATTGATTTAAAAAAAAAAAACCGATTTGATCAAAATCGAGTTCAAGTGATCTCGAACTTCGGGCAATACATACGGACTAGTAATCAACAGTCACTTTCAACTTATTATAAGCCACGGGCGGGTAAAAGTCAGAACTGTAGTATTTAATTTAGATCAAGAGTATCAGACACCACCACTATGGACTTTGGACATTAATGACCTTTTCAATAAAATAATAGAGAATCATGGATCAACATCGTTAGTGTTAAAATGCACTCTTACGTAAAGAGGAAACAAAAGCACGAAGCTAACTAGCATTTTCATCGATCTATTTTACAAAATAGCTAGTCCACAAATTTCCTGATTACGATTTACACAAAACTATTAAATTTGAAGTTAAAGTCCAGTACTTGTACCATCTAATAAGGCGTATCGTTAACAATCGACGATTTGGATTCCAACTTTGTTGAACGAATTGCTAGAATTATCATTAAACGAATAATTAGTGGAAATAAAAATCTATAGTTGGAGACGTAGACTATAATTAATAAGAACCGTACGAGTTGACTTGTGGAGAAGGCAACACAAACTCTCTCGCCGTGTACGGCGGAGGAGCAGCCGCAAGTGGATCCAGCCGACACTAAGGAAGCTTTTTAATTTGCACAAGATCCGATACACTTAATTACACCTTCTCTACTACACGAGAACATGTGCCTTCTGTTAAGTTTCCTTCTTATATATATAATACATAGTTTTTGTACATAATACACTAAACCCGGCCCTTCACCAGTAACCATCTCCAAATTTTGTAGCATCGATACTTTGTTCATAGAGATGGCTAGATCATCTGTACCTCTGATCGCTGTGTTATGCGTTTCACTTCTACCACTTGCGGCCATGGCGGTTGGAACGCCATTCCTCGTTGAAGGCCGTGTTTACTGCGACACTTGCCGCTTTGGATTCGAGACAATCGCCACCAAATATATCATCGGTTTGTATTTACACTTGCATACTCATACATCTCACATATTGTAACAATGCAATTACTTACTATTAGTTATATTGATCTGATTAGTAACTCGATGATTCTCAAATTTAATCACCCAAAAAAATACATCATATCTGGCTATTTTAGAAAAAAGAAAAAATTAAACCAACTGAATCTTCAATGTACTTTTCTACATAACCCCACAACTTGAATCCTTTTAAAATACATCAAATTATGTACGTTTGTATTTTTTCAAAAAGTTATAAATGATTTTTTCTCCTATACATTTACTCTAACTCCTCATTGCGAATTTAGTTATGTAAAACATTATTTGAAAAACAGGGGCAACAGTGAGAATAGTGTGCAAAGACGGAGTGACCTTGAAACAGGAGGTGGTTGGTGAGGCGGTGACGGGCGGCCTTGGAACATACAGTATCGCCGTCACAGGAGATCGACACGACCAGCAGTGTCAGGCGGAGCTCGTCAAGAGTTCCATGCACGACTGCCACGTGGCTGATCCCGGCAGAAGTACCGCCACCGTGATCCTCACGCGGTCCAACGGCGCCGCCTCTACACGCCACTTCGCCAACGCCATGGGTTACCTCCGGGACCAACCGCTTCCTGGCTGCGCCGCTCTCCGGAAACTCTACCTTTCCGACGGTGATGCTCGGGCTATTTGAGTCATTTACTGACCTTTCTATATATGTTCTTCTTTTGTTTTTTTTTTTTTTTTTGGTTAAAGACCGTATGTCCTTTCTTGATGAAACAAGAAAAGTTGATTTTAGATGAAAAAAAAAATCATGTAATAATTACATCGGTGTGTATCTAAGACTCTTTTATGCTGGTGACACTAGACACTACATAAAATCATGTATTTGCAGCGATAAAATTTTTTTTTTCTCATGTTGATGAAGAGGAAAGGAAATTTGTTTTATGTTTTGTTACTTATATGGATCTAGTTAAACAATACTACGATCTATGCCTCTTCAAACAATTTCGGTGGATATTATAAAAACTAAAATGACGAAACTAGTGATTATCATAGTAAATACTAAATTTAATAATTTATTAATTGAGAAACTGGTTATAGAAATAATTCTACTACACCTCCAACGGTGGTATGGTATGAGGTTAATTGTGTTTTTGCAGTAAAATTAATGTTTTAATGCTTTAAATTCTTAAAACCGCTTTTTGTTTTAGAGTTTTTAGAGACCCAACTAGTTCCATATGTGGCATTATTTGATTAGTTGAGCATTTTTTTATTGTTTTTTTTTATTCAAACCCTTTTTTCAAGTGGAGTGTTTCAGACCCTTAAACTATGATTAAAATTCAAATTATGATTTAATTTTCTGTATTTTATGTTTAAATTTTAAATTAATGAAATAATTTGTATTAATAAATTGTTTGTATTTGAAACAAAAATAATTTTTTTTAAGAGTCTTTCATTTCATTAGATACTACCATTGGACACTAAAAAAATGAAAAAATCTATAAAAAATTTTAAAACAATAAAATGCACAAAAACCTATTAAAAATTATATTAGATCTGTTAAGTAGAGACCATAGTTGGAGATGCTCTAAGTGCAGAAATGTTCTGACCCTTGGTACATGCAACATAATTGCATAAAGACTTAACCAGTAACACGCTTAACTTAATAATCGTACATATATATGTCTTTATCTTCACAAGCCATATCCCAAACTGAAAAATTACTCTGGTTCACATTGTCAGATTGACTAGATTCCGGGAATTGATTCAAATCCATGGCAGTATCATCATCATCTTCGAATCTCCTAGAGAAATTTAACTCGTGTTGCATCCTCTCGAATCATAAGTAATCCATCCAATTCCTATGATCATCATCATCTCGCTTGTCCGTTGCGCTCGAGCTCACACTGTAATCATCTTCACTAGTCGAATTAGTGGCAATACTTGGAGCCGTTTCAAGCACAGAGATTGTTTCTACCATGCTCTGGCTCGGTTCTTGGGCCGAAGACCCGTAGAGACACTGGATCTCATGGCCCGTCCTCGAATTCTTGTCCACGAATCCAAAGCTCACATCACTCTGAGGACAACTCGAGTTTTGGCAAGTGTAAACACTATTAGACGGTTCCATAAAACCACCTTTTCTCTTGGACCCCGAAGTTTCTTGATCTTCCGAGATCTTCAGATCTTTGATATTGAGAAGGGCTTCTTCTTGGTTTAAGACACGAGACCATGTATCAGTCTCTTTTGCCATCATCTTATCTTGCAAACATTTCGATTGCCTAGCGAGACGTCTCACTCTTCCCAAATTCGGCGACATGTGTTTAATCACGGCCGCGAGAACACTAACTTTCCAAGATTTCCTCAAATCGTGCGGCTTTCGATACGGTGGCGCACCGTGTTCGTGAGCCGCTCCTTGCTCTCCCCACCAAAGCTCCTTCCCTGTCGGCCACCACGGCGGCGCGATTCCTTGCTCTAAAGGAAACCGTCGTTGTGGCGGCACGCAGTGTTGTATCAACGCCGAAAGTAACGACCCTAGAGTCGTGTCTTGTAGTTCTTGTAGCATGTGAAGTAAGCTCGATGGTTCCTTCTCGATAAGCTCTGCCGCAGCAGCCGCGAGAGTTAAGTAATCATCGATAGCGTTTGGAGCGTTTTGGTCGAACTGAACGTTTTCTTTCCACCAACGTCTTAGGCCGTCGGACGAACCGGTTATTGGTTTACCCTTTTCCGGTACGATTCCGTAGACAAAACCTTTCGCTTTACACACCTCCATGATCTTCATCATGTACTTCAACACCGAGTCTTGTGCACGAGCCATCTTCTTGCGCCGTGAAGCTTAGGCTCGGTGCGTTGTCAATGAAAGGACGTTGTTGCTGTGTCGTTTCTGTTGCTTGAGCTTTTCCATGAGGTTACGGTCTTTCCACATGCGTCTTTTGAGGTCATCATAGCTTATTTCTTCGTCTTCTTCTTCTCCTTCGTCTCCAATTGGACTAAGTGGTTCCAATTCTTCGACTTCCACCATTTTGCTTCTAGTCGATCAGACTTCGTGTCATGGACTTAATTAATAATCATCTCTTTTCTTTAAGGAATAGTATATTATATACGTGATTGAGGTTATTGTCCGTACTGATGTAACACGACCACCTTTTTTGTTATCTCGAGTGCCTTTATATAGATGTTAGATTATATACGCATATATTTTGGTGAACATATATATACATATAGAAGATTAAAATAGATGTATGTTTTTAAAATGATGGTGTATGTTTTTTAGTTTAATTGGGAGGAGGGTGTGCATGTGCGATGAGGGACGTGGCGAGATTTCCTGGTTCGGTCTGAGCTAAATATAAGTTGTAAAAGTAAGTATTTTGGAATTTTGTGGCGGAGATAATTACGTGGACAAGAGTTATCTCCGGGCATCGGGACGCCGGAGGTTAGTACAATTTTTTTTGCATCAAAGTCGTCGGCTAGCAAAAGTTCTTTGCACCGACTTAATTTAAAATATATATTTAAGAAGAAAATGAATACTAAGGAATGTTTTTTTTTTTAAGAATCTATCTAGAAACCATGGGTACTAAAAAAATGGCTAAGCGAGGGTTCTCGGGGATTCCTGAGATCAGGCTATCAGCAAATATTATTACGATGCTTTCGTATGAGCTAACATAAGGATCTACCTTGTTTTTTACACCTTACACATGTCTTTTATATATTTGGGAAATGTATTCTTATTTTTAACACATCGTTTTTGAATTTCCTATACATATGTATTAATAACAGTTATGGGGAAAAGCATACCAAAAATAAAAAATGTTTGGGACTTGTCCTTTCGTCGGAACTGAAAGGCAATTTTATGATGTCATGCATTAAATAATAGATAGTTAAAAGTGAAAACGATGTCGGGTTTTTAACAAGCCTATGAATTACTTTTTTGGGGTTAAAATGTCTTATGGAAAAAAATATTGTATATGTTGTGAAAACTTAGAAACTTTATTAATCACTGGAATGTATATATAGAGTATATAGGGAATCTAGGTTAAATACAATGCCCTGATGGGCCTAATGGGCCGGTATAAGAGTCCATATATGATATGTGTTATAACACTCTCCCTTGGACGAGTGAACCGGGTCAGCTACTCAATCGGGATCTCGATAATGCGCTGGGGAATGTTGCCTCATTAAAACCTTACCAGGAAAAACCCAGTGGGACAAAACCATGGTGAAGGAAAAAGAGTACAACACGCATTACTCCCCCTGATTGTAGCATCACTGCAGATCTCTAAGTCTATACATTCCTATCTGTTTGACGAGCTTCCGGTGTGTTGAAGTAGGCAATGATTTGGTGAAGAGGTCAGCTGAATTCTCACTGGATCGGACCTGCTGAACGCTGAGAGTGCCGTCCTTCTGCCAGTCTGAGGTTGAGAAGAACTTCGGTAGAATGTGCTTCGTCCGATCTCCTTTGATATATCCTTCCTTGAGCTGAGCTATGCATGCCGCGTTGTCTTCATACATCACCGTGGGCTGTGTGTCTTCGTCCATACCACAATCTCTGCGGATGTGCTGAGTCATGGAGCGCAGCCAGACGCATTCCCTACTAGCCTCATGAATGGCTAGGATTTCAGCATGGTTTGATGAAGTGGCAGTGAGTGTCTGCTTCATTGATCTCCAAGAGATGGCTGTTCCTCCATGCGTAAAAACGTAGCCAGTTAGAGACTTGGCAGTGTGCGGATCTGATAGATATCCTGCATCGGCGAAGCCGACTAACCCATCTTTATTTTGGTTAGTATAGAAGAGTCCTAAGTCTTGAGTACCTCGAAGGTATCTTAGGAGATGTTTTATACCGTTCCAGTGCCTCTGAGTTGGAGATGAACTATATCGAGCGAGGAGGTTCACGGCGAAACATATGTCTGGTCTAGTGTGACTAGCCAGGTACATTAACGCTCCTACAGCACTGAGGTATGGCTTTTCAGGACCAAGGATTTCTTCATCATCCTTTTTGGGACCAAGAGGGTCATCACTTAAGCTTCTAACTACCATTGGGCTGGTCAATGGGTGAGCTTGGTCCATATTAAATCGCTTGAGTACCTTTTCGATATAAGCCGATTGATGCACAAGGATTCCTCCTTTGATGTACTCAAGTTGTAATCCCAAACAGTACTTTGTTTTGCCTAGGTCTTTCATTTCGAATTCTGTTTTTAAGCAGTCGACTGTTTGGGAGATCTCACCAGATGTTCCGAGGATGTTTAGATCATCCACGTATACTGTTATGATTACAAATCCTTTGTTTGAGTACTTCTTGATGAAGATGCATGGACTGATGGGGTCATCTTTGTAGCCTTCTTTGATGAGGTAATCGCTGAGGCGGTTGTACCACATACACCCACTTTGTTTCAGTCCATACAAGGATTTGTTCAGCCTGATGCAGTATTGATCTCGAGATGCATTTTTGTCTTTTAGTTCAATGCCATCTGGAAGTCTCATATATATTTCGTTGTCCAGGGGCCCATAGAGATATGCGGTTACAACATCCATTAACCGCAGATCAAGATTTTCTCTTATGGCCAGACTTATGAGGAATCGGAATGTTGTTGCATCCACCACTGGAGAATAAGTCTCCTCATAATCGATTCCGGGTCTCTGTGAGAATCCTTGTGCTACAAGCCGTGCTTTGTATCGAACGACTTCACCGAGTTCGTTCCTTTTGCGCACAAAGACCCATTTGTGGCCCACTGGCTTGATGTGTGATGGGGTCCGGATGATCGGACCGAACACGTTTCTGAGTTTGAGACTCTTTAACTCCACGTTTATGGCTTCTTTCCATTTTAGCCAATCTGTTCGATGTGTACACTGTGTTATTGACGTGGGTTCTAGATCCTCTTGCGTGAGCGCAACATCAAGTGTTACTTTGTATGCAAAGAGTGCATTTAAGTCGACTTCTTTTCGATTCCATTGTATTCCGGACATATTGTAATTGATGGAGATCTCATTGTTATCTTCTGAACCTGGAGATTCGGCGTCCCGAACTTCCATTGAGGGTTCATTAGATTGAGTCTCAGCCGCGGCTATGTCTGATATTGCAGGAATCCCGGTTTCGGTTATTGCACCTTTCTTTGATTTCTGGGGATTCTTATCTTTGGAACCGAGAGGTCTGCCCCGTTTGAGACGTGGTGCAGACTCTGTAGCAACTTGGGTCTGTCCCGTTGGGACAGCTATTCGTACTGGTGCATTACAAGCTAGGATGTACGATTTGGTTACTTTGGTCGGGTCAGCAAAGGAATCTGGCAATTGATTAGCTAGCTTTTGATAATGAATAATCTTTTGGATCTCTGAATCACATTCTAGAGTCCGAGGATCTTGCCAATTTAATGATGTTTGATTCCATGAAAGATCTTTGACCAGCTTGTTTGTCTCACCACCTAAAGAGGGATATACCGATTCATCGAATTGGCAATCCGCATATCTGGCCTTGAAGAGATCTCCAGTGGTTGGCTCGAGATATCTTATGATGGTGGGAGAGTCAAAACCAACATATATTCCCATCCTTCTTTGAGGTCCCATTTTGGTTCGATGTGGTGGAGCAATGGGTACATATACTGAACACCCAAATGTTTTGAGATGGGAGATGTCTGGCTCATGACCCGAGAGTAGTTGGGATGGGGAATATTTGTGTTCACTAGATGGCCGGATGCGTATGAGTTCAGCAGCATGTAATACTGCATGTCCCCATGCTGAGGCCGGGAGCTTTGATCTCATGAGTAATGGTCGGGCTATCCATTGAATGCGTTTAATGAATGATTCAGCCAATCCATTTTGAGTATGGACATGTGCTACAGGATGTTCCACGGTTACCCCCATGGCCATACAGTAGTCATTAAACGCTTGTGAGGTAAATTCACCAGCATTGTCAAGGCGGATAGTCTTTAGTGGGAAGTCAGGGAAATGGGCCCGCAATTTTATGATTTGGGCCAAGAACCTAGCGAAGGCTTGGTTCCGAGAGGACAAGAGACAAACACATGACCAACGGGTCGATGCGTCTATAAGGATCATGAAGTACCGGAATGGTCCGGAAGATGGATGTATAGGTCCACAGATATCGCCCTGGATTCTTTCTAGGAAATGAAGTGTTTGTTTAGAGATTTTAACTGGTGAGGGCCGAGTGATCAATTTGCCTTGAGAACAAGCTGTGCACATGAGGTGTTGAGGATAAGCTCGGTTTTCTTTGAGGGTATGCCCTTGAGAGTTTTGAATTAGTTTACGCATCATATTTGCACCGGGATGACCGAGCCGGTCGTGCCAAATAGTATAATCAGTAAACCGGGCTTTGAGAGTGGTATTAGCTTCAATCATACTGACTTTAGCATGGTAAAGTCCAGTAGAGAGCGCGGGTATGGTTTCGAGGATTTGTTTATGGCCGTCTACGGTTTTAGTGACTAGGAGGGATTCTTTGTTCCCTTGACCTTGGGTTTCTATGTGGAAACTATTCTGTCTTATATCCTTGAAGCTCAGAAGATTTCTCTTCGAACTAGGAGAATATAGAGCATCTGGTATTTCAAGTTGTGTGCCATTTGATAGCAACACATAGGCATGGCCATATCCTTCGATAAGGTTTGAGGGACCCGCGATGGTGCTAATATTTGCGATTTGATAGGTTAGGTTTATGAAGTAACTTTTGTTTCTTAAGATAGTGTGGCTGGATCCACTATCTACGACTATGGTTTCCATTTGCTAGTGTGCTTTTCCACCTTTGGATTTCTGACAGGCTAATGAACTGGGAGCTAATAGACCTCAGTTAGCCGCTACAAATTCCAAGGATTGATCACCAAAACTGGAGAAGCTGCTGGTTGAAGAAGGAAAAACTTGGATTTGGTTTTTTTTTTTTTTTTTTTCGGTTGATCGTCGTGTACTGTAAGTGTGCGTGAGGGCGCGTCCGACGTTGGATCGACAAACGGTTTTCACCAGTAGATTCGTCTCGTCGAGGGCTTCGATTTGATATGTAGATCGTCTTCTGGTTCCTCACGGTTTGGAAGATATGCGTTTTTTAAGTTTCGACTTGCTTTTAGGGTTTTGGTGGTGGCCGGATTTATTAGGGTTTTTCGCTCAGAGAGTCTTATCGTGCTGATAACGTGTTGTGAAAACTTAGAAACTTTATTAATCACTGGAATGTATATATAGAGTACATAGGGAATCTAGGTTAAGTACAATGCCCTGATGGACCTAATGGGCCGGTATAAGAGTCCATATATGATATGTGTTATAACAGTATAGTGGTAAAATATTAAATAGATAGTCTTTTTTATCGTAGTGTTTATTTGGTAAAAGTTAGTGATATACATCCATAGACCATGAATATATTTATCAGTGTTAATTTAAGTTAAAACTAAAAATTTACGTTCGCGATCGTGGTGAGGACATAATTTAGTGATAGGTTTTGTCTCAACAGTTCAGCTATTTTCCGAAAATATGGACACGTCTGAAAAGCCTCTACGCTTCATAAGAAAGGGATGGATTCGTGGTTACAAGTGGTGGAGGAAGGTATCCCCTGATAGAAACAGGAGAAGCTTGGATCCTGAAGAAGATAAGCTGGCAGATTAGAGTAAAGCCTCTACTTCAGGTGGAGATTTTTCATTTAAATATGTGAAACAATAATTTTAGTCTTCATGCTTGATTTTGTTGTTGCGATGTGATGCTATCATAAATACCAAATTACCTGTGTTCTCATTGTATGCTTGAATCCCCACCAACTGAATTCACTTACACTTTAGTTGCAAGCTCATATGCTAAACAGGGTTTCAACGAGGAAGCATTGAAGGCTTTCACTGCAAGTGTGTACTTCTTATTCTTGCTTCAATGTTTGGAGGATGTTGAGTGTTATTTGTGAGCAAAAATATTATTTTTTATTAGGGGGTTTCTGAAGGTTACATGTGATTAGTATTTAGATAAATCAAATCAACTACTCTGTTGGTGAAGATTATATTTTGATTCATAGTCCAAGCAACTCAAGTGAAAATGAGTTTTGAGTTCCTAGCTAGCCCTTAACTTTAATCATCAAGAAAGCAAGTTTTAGATTTGAGCTTGGAAAGGTAGTTTTTGCATCGTCTCGTGAAGAAAACCAGCCTCATTCATCAATCACATAGTTGGATAAACGTTCTGAGTATCGCCTATTTGAGGGAGGAAATCTTTACTAAAATGTATGGATAATAAAACAATAATCTCAGATAGATGATATCCGGAGCGTCAATTTTTCTGCATGGATACAAAAAAAAAGTTCAAATTCTTCACATTCCGCATCTTTCCGATGTCAATATAAACAAGATTATCACACTTGTATAGAGTCAAGTTTTGAAGAACTAGAAAATTAACAATAACAAAAGTGTACAAACAAAGCACACAAATTTTTGTTTTTTGGTTTGTTGTACTTTGATTAGTAAGTTACCACAATCATCAAACAAATATTGTATAATGTATATGATGAATATTTTAAAGCATTTTCAATTATTTTGGAAAAAATTTATTATTATGTAAGTTGTAAATAATTAGTCTTACATATAACATGATTTCATAAAATACTGTGCTAATTTGTTTAAAAGAGTTAGAGTTCAAATCTTACAAGTTTTACATAAACTGATAAAAGTGTAAGGAAAAAAAAATGTTACTGCATGTGTAGATATATGCTGATATTATATGTGATATGTTTACATATTTATCCACTAAATACCTAAAATTTATAAATGAATATAAGTGATTTTAATAAATAAATTAGAAGTAAATGAATATAAGTGATCTTAAGAGAATAAGGTAAATAAATTTATAAATAAACATCTGATAGAAGAAATTATCACCTCCAAATTAGAAGTTTTTTTCTTCTATCAGATGTTTATAGTAGGCCTATAATGGGCTTAAGAATTTCAATGATATTGGGCTTCGGCTACATTGATGTTTCTGGCTCAGTAAGCAGTGGGACCGCGCGTCGCTCGAGTTTCACGCCCCAATTATGATTCGAAACGCGACTAACAAAAACAAAAATCGAGATCGGAAATTTCACACGGTTCCCGCCTCAACGAAATCAAAAACCCTAATTTCCCACTCTCCAGATCCTGCAGAATTACCACCGACGGATCGATTCTAATCTCTAGAGGTCAGTAACCCAATTTTGTTTCCATCATCCTCGTAATTTCTAGGTACGAATCGAGTCGTCGGATTTTCAAATTTCTGGTTGCGAAATTGAGAGGTTTTTGTTGAAATTCTTGCTCGGGGTTAAATTCCCGGTTCCTTTGTTGAAATGTAATCATCTTAGCTTTAGTTTTCTTCACTTTATGTTCGAAATTGAAGTTTATTGCTCTTTCCTTGTGGGTGATTTTGAAGATGGCTGAAGATAGCGGCAAATTAGTGTCCGGAGAAACCCGCCACGCTTTGGGTGATTTGACAAATCTTCCAAGGAAGAGGTTATTCTCGTCGATTTTGGGTGATTTGCTTCATAAATCTGAAGGTGAATCTGGTAGGAACGTTGCTCATGAAGGTTCGAGGGTAGAGTTTTCAAAGAGGTTGTGTTTAGTTGTAGATGACTTGGTGAAGGAAAATGATACAAACGAAGGGTCCTCTTCGGAATGTAAGATTAGTTCTTGTGATTCCGATGGCAAAGAATCTGGGGAATCTCATGATGCTGCTACGGTGGAGGATTCCAGTGTAGATGGCAAACCATTGAAGGAGATGTATTTTGAACCTGGTGACAGAGACGGTGCACGAGAGTTAAACGAGGCTGATCAAGCTGCTGTTGCTGCTGGTGAAGGCTTGGCTTTATCTGTGTTTAGCAGCAATGCCGAGAGCCAGAATCCACTGCCTAAATGTCAGAATTTGAGATCATTTGAAATGAGTAGATGCTCTAATGTGAATCAGAATATGGGAGAGGACTTGCTAAAATCATGCTCTTGTTCTTTTTGCCTTAAAGGTAGCTGATGCTTTTCAATTCTTCTTAAATTTTTGTTTCTCTTGGTTAACTAACTTGGGTATTTGCTATTTCAGCTGCGTATATCTGGTCAGATCTTCATTACCAGGATATCAAAGGTCGATTATCTGGTAAGTGCCAGTCATCTATAAACCACACGCTCTTGATCATCTCTCTGTGAATATTGTCATATGATTTTTGTTTTTGTTTTTGCTTTTCTGAATCAGCCTTGAAGAAGAGTCAGAAACAAGCTAGCAATATGATTCAAAGGAATGGTAAAGAAAGGCCTCTGGATTTCCTTGCCTTGGCAAATTCCGCTAGTTCTGCAAATCTAGAATCTGATCTCATGGGCCAATGGAGATCGCTCTTTCTTAGCATGGGCGATATCCTCGCTCATGAAAGTAACCAGCTTGTAAGAGCCTATAGAAGCTTCTAACCTTGTTCTTGAAGCATACTGCAAAGTGTTTTTTGAAACCCAGTTGCTTCTTCTGCACAAAAACCTGACTTTCCTCTTTTCGTGTGTGTGTAACTCCAATCCTGCAGCAAAATAGGTTTTTGACAATGAAAGAATTGCGGGAAGATTGCAAGATCGATTTGGAGAGAGCTACGAAAACATTTCAAGAGAACGCCTAGTAAGTGCCCTTTTCTACTTGATCAAACACTGTATGGAGTCAAAAGCTTATCTTTAATTTTCGCACCAGCTCGTGTGAAATCTTTATATATGCTCGATGCTATGTATAGATGCCTAATAAGCGTAAACAATTCTGTATGTATGTGCAACTACTGTTTTTGTTAGTTCTTTCTTCAAAACTCACGTTGTTCTTCAAGACCAACAGTTACCACACAGACGCATGTTTCTTAGTGTTTATTTGGCATTGACTATTTTGCTGCCTCAGACTCGGTAGTTTACACGTGATGTAAACCATTCCGTTGCCGTATGTATGTGTTTTTTTCTTGTCCACAACGATAACATTCTCTCTTCTAGCATCCTTAAGTTTTATTTATGGATGTCCCCCGATGCGGTGTAAAGCAGGTTAACATTAAAACCATTATATATATATATATATATATATATATCTTAAAACTGGTACGCGTATTGATTAAATTAAACAAAAACTAGAAACCGGGAAGGAACCAGTTTAAATGAATACAAAACGTCAAATAAATTAATTAGTAGTAAGCCCTAAATTAATAACATAATCTAGCAATAAACAATTCGTAAAACGAGTGGTTAACTAGCAAATTACGTTAACTCTTATTCAACCAACGGAAAAAAACAAAAACCTAATAAAAAAACAAACGGTCGATCATTCATATAAGTGGAGAAGCAGATCTTGTGGGCTTCGTGTACACACGTACAATTGACTAATACGAATTATATGCGTTACCCTTTTACTTTATTAAATTATTAATTCATGTTCTCATTTCCTTTTAGGTTTAATTAAAAAATAAAGAATCTGCCGACTTACTATAGAGTAGAAACTAGAGAAGGGGTTTATCCGACACAACAAAAAAGAAAACAAAAAAGAGAAAGGTTTTATCTACTTGTGTAGACCAAACGTGCGGTGTTTGGCTCGAAGCACGACAAGAGGCAGACGAGTCATATCACGTATGGCTTCGAGTAGTGAACGACAATAATAGAAAGTTATGAAGCCAATTAGTTCATTATTTGGAAAATGTACGTGTCTTATTTTAAGATTGCAAAGATTATTAGAAAGTACTTATTCTTTAAACAAAACAGTTATGTTTACTACATAATATTTATGTAAATTTTAAATTTCGTTAAACATAATTCTCTTTTAACTTCATTTGAGAGTTATTTACCAAATATTAATTTAACATAATATTAAATTACAAATGATTTAACTTTTCGTTTTTGTTAAATTTTTCATTTGTAAATATACTTGTGTTCTATTGTTCCTCGCCAAAATTTGATAAGGAATACTTTTACTATATAATTCCCACAAAAAGGAAATGAAAATAATTCAATATACCGAATATTACTTCTAAATTGTAAAAAAAAAAACAATTTTCTTTCTTATTCTTTTTTTTTTTGTTTGGTTGATCATCATTCTAACCCTACCTTTAAATATCTTCGATGTGCATACACGAGTAATTAGTTAAATACTAATTGGAACTTTACTTTAGATAGTGAATCAAGAAAAATACACGAGTAATTAGTTAAATATTGATTGGAACTCTACTTTTTGCGACACTAATTAGATAAAGATCAAGAAAAACTAAAACTTAATAGACTTTCATTGTATTGAAAATGAAGATAAAAGTCGTTGAGTTTGCCAATAAATGGGGGTTCGATTTGCCGTTGTCGAACCTTCTTGATTCTTTCTCATTTACATATGTGTACACCTTTTCTTTCTTTTGCTTGGTTTTGAGTTTACACCAATAATCTCATGAGTGAGCTACAAGCTGCTACTAAGAAAATATGGAAACAATTATGTACGAACTTAAAAAGAGATAGATGTTTAGGCAAAAAGTATAAGTATGATATTTTTGAATGTATCACTAACTAGTACCAAGGGCACGTTCACATCAGTCTAAATTCCCATCCAACATATACATTGCATCGAGAAACTACACCCACATGTAAGATATACGAATATATTTTTTGGTAAAGGTTTACGTGTGGCTATCAGTAACATTGTATCAATGGTTTTTTTTTAAACTGAATATTCTTAAAATATTTTATCATTTCGATTTAATTGATATAAATAGCTAGCTAAATACATAATGAGAATGATTTTCTCCCCCCGTAAAGTTATAAATTTTAGTTTACCACTATTGATATATATATATATACAAAACTATATATATATAGCTAAAACATAATCATATATATTACAGAAAAAAATATAAATTCTTTTAAGAATTTAAAATAATATGTAGCATTGAAATCTCTTATTCTCATTGACAAACAAATACGACCAATAATGTGTTCATTTTGGGTTTTGTGTCTTCTTTCTATAATTTTTTTTTTTTAGTCAAACGTTACTCAAGGTGATTCTCTACTAGTACTAGATATCAAAATTTATCTTAAACAAGCACGAATTCTAGGTCTCGATCGATCGTTTGACTAAAAAGTCTGAAATAGCTTAAAGCATAATCTAATATAAAAAGATTGGCATGTAAATTGGAGAGAGATTGGCATGTAAATTGGAGAGATATTGGCATGTAAATTGATCCAACACCGATATCAACTAGCCACTAGGTATTTTGTACTCTCGTAATAAAACTATAGAATGACAGTACTTTTTTAAACACTGTATACTACTTTTCATAATCAGATATAATATAGAGTGTTTAAAAGATTTACACGTTTTAACTAATTTTGCAATTATCTCCAACAAAAAAAATGAGGAGACGCGGATTCGACGACTCGCATGGTTCAGCGACATTAGACACGCAAATATTTTACAACAACGTACGCGAGTGAGACCATGAAAAAAGTGGGGCCATGAAACCCATTATTAGGCCCAAGTAGGTCCCACTACGGCTCGGGTTTTGTAGGTCCCACGTTTCGCCTCTGTTCTCCTACATAAACCAATTCGCAGGTCTGGGAAAAATACACACACCCTCTTGGGCCTCTTCATCATTATCTCCTTCCTCTCCTCTCTGTTCATCTTTTTCTTTATTTTCTCCTTTAAATCTCAGTTTATCTTTGATTCAGATATTTCCAACTGAGTCCCTGATTTTCTCAAATGGGTAAGCCTTGGTTTTAGTAGCTTTCATCTCGATATAATCTACTCTCTCTCTGAGTAGCTAATCCTTATATACTCTGTTTTGATAGTGACTTTAATCGTGGAAAAACCACATAGAATGTCAGCGAGCCAAAACGTAGTCGTATCAGAGACTACAAGGTCATCTATCATCACCAGCAGCAACAACAACTCTTCTTCTTCCCCGAAACCCTCAACGGCTCCTCCTGGTCTCATCTCCATTTCCAAGAAAAAGCTCCTCAAGAATCTCGATGTCATCAATGGCGGTCAAAGAATCAATGCTTGGGTCGATTCAATGCGAGCTTCTTCTCCTACTCATCTCAAATCACTCCCATCTTCCATCTACTCACAGCAACAACTCAACTCATGGATCGTAAGCTGTCGCCATTACTATCTCACAAACCCTTGATTGACTCTTCCTTTGTTTTTTTTGTTGTTGTTTGGTTTTGCCTCTTCTTACATTTTTACTTGTGTCTCCGACAGATGCATCATCCTTCAGCATTAGACATGTTCGAACAGATCATGGAAGCTTCGGGAGGGAAACAAATCGTAATGTTTCTTGACTATGACGGTACCCTCTCTCCCATCGTTGATGATCCAGACAGAGCTTTCATGTCAAGCAAGGTTCGTCTTGAGATCATTCTGTTTGGCTTAATCATATTATTAACCTTTGTCACTAATCACATTTCGACTGGTGTGTCTCAGATGAGAAGAACAGTGAAAAAACTGGCCAAGTGTTTCCCCACTGCTATAGTTACTGGTAGATGCATAGACAAGGTATTTTCTTCTTCCTCTTTTTTCCTTGGCATTTTCTCCATATTCTATGGAAAAAAAAATATTGTTATAAGATATAGTTTATTACGGGTTTTGTTAATTTATAATTTAATTACCCTTATTTTTTTTCTATCAAAGGTGTATAACTTTGTGAAGCTAGCTGAGCTGTATTATGCTGGAAGCCATGGCATGGACATAAAAGGCCCATCAAAAGGCGTCTCCAGACAGAAGAGGGTGATTTTCAAATAACATAATTACTTGAGAAAGAAAAACAAAAAAATATTAATGTTTCATTATTGTTAAACTTATTTAGTTTCCCTTTTCTTTAGCTTAAACAGTCTCTTCTGTACCAACCAGCCAGTGACTATCTTCCAATGATCGATGAAGTAAGACATATGATGTTGGGTTTATTAAATAGATAATTAGTTGTATCTTTTTGTGTTTAATCAACAAATATATCTGTGAACGGATTATTGATTATATATCATTAACATAAGTGCTTAATTTGGAAAGGTCTACAGAAAACTCTTGGAGACAACCAAATCAACTCCGGGAGCCAAAGTAGAAAACCACAAATTTTGTGCTTCTGTGCACTTCCGCTGCGTCGATGAGAAGGTAAAATTTTAAATCACATAAAAAAGAAACAATTATTGAATATCGAAAACTAACATAGAAAAAGGAAAAACTTAATAATCCAGAAATGGAGCGAACTGGTTCAACAAGTTCGGTCGGTATTACAGGAATACCCTACGCTGAAACTGACGCAAGGTCGGAAGGTATGTTGTAGTATTCTCTCGTTGGTCAAACATTTACTTAAGAGAATCTGTTTTGTGTTTTATAACTTATCGCGTATTTTTTTTTTTTTTAAATGATTGACTCGACAGGTTTTCGAAATCCGTCCCATGATTGAATGGGATAAAGGGAAAGCTCTTGAGTTCTTGTTAGAGTCACTTGGTAAGTGCTGAGTAGCAAGAATCTTGTCCTGTCTGATGATTATGTTTTTGTTTTTGTTTTTGTTTTTGAACAACGTTTTTGTCTTTTTATTCAGAAGTAACTTTCCTCCACTAAAAACCATTTTCCATCGATATTACCATTCACATTTTTAAAATTAGATACAATCAATTTAAACACAGAGTTAATTTTGAAACTTTGGTTACAACAGGACTTGGGAACTCTAACGACGTTTTTCCTGTTTACATCGGTGATGATCGGACCGATGAAGATGCATTCAAGGTATACGAATCCTTTTCTTGAATTATATATGTCAACTAGCTAATATTTCATAAAATATAAAAATATCTATATTACTAAGTCAGGACACCAATTATATTTTGCTTATTGAAATTTGTGGCATGTAATTAAACTAGATGCTACGAGACAGAGGCGAAGGCTTTGGCATTCTTGTCTCCAAATTTCCCAAGGATACGGATGCTTCCTATTCTTTGCACGATCCGTCCCAGGCAAGTCCACACACGCACGTATATATATATATATATATATATAATATGTATATAGTGTATCTATTTACAGTCGTATATATATTTAGACGTATTTCACAGTAAATTAATGGTTTTCTTCACATAGTAATTCTCATAAATACGAAATCAACAGGTGATGGATTTCTTGCGACGATTGGTGGAATGGAAACAAATGCAGCCAAAAATGTGAAGGCCGATAAGGGATATCTAATAAATGTCTGACAATGTTTTAAATAGTTAATGCCAACGAATTTTAGGGATGTATATAATGAATATGTACATTCCTTAGCTCTCTCGGAACGTTGTAAAGGATAGGGCAATGCCTTAAGCTGCCCCCTTAGGTTAATGTTCTTGTTCATCGCATTTTGTTTTTGTAAGAAAAAAACGATGAATAAGAATAGGGTGACAAGTTGTCTTCGAATAGTTCTACTAAGTTGTAATAATCTTCAAACAAAATAATATATATAATATATATATCATGTTAATTAAGAAACAATTTTTAATTATATTATTTTTATATGTATTTACAAAGTTTTTTTTTTGTAAACACATATGGCCTTTTGTTATGTGAGAATAACGTTAGCACATTGAAGTGAAACATATTAAACATTATATATGAAAATCCTTTCATCCAAACTTGTGGTAGTTAACGAAAAAGTTAGATTTTCGTCTTCTCTCTATTGTTTCCACATTATTATAATTGATTCAATCTGGTATGTATTTATAATTTTATATGCGGTTCTTGATTTTCTTAAAACATAACATTTTATTTGGAGCCGGTGACAAAGTGAAACAAAAAGGGTTTTTTAATTAGTTGGGTAAACGATTTATTTGTAAATTGTATGTGAGTGTATGTGACACATATTTAGTAAAACAAATAATTATGGATTTAATGAGAGGTATACGAAAGAGATGGATGTATCGAGGTTTGTCTCACTTTGCGTTCTTGTATACTGACACTTTGACACATAGCCTGGTGGGGTCCAAGTGAAACTAAATTGTCGTCAATTCAAATCTGTCTGGTACTTTTCACCAGTATAGACAATAAACCTAACCGAATTAATCCGGATCAAACCAAGAACTAATACTTGTATTCTTGCTCGTTGTAGCAAAGACAAACTCTGGAAACTTGGAAGTCTTATTTTGTCTTTATTATTGGTTTGGGCATGGGTTTGGGTTAAGTCGTGTTCCTCTCTACGTGCATGTCCTTTGGCCCTGATTACGAACGCTCTATAAATTTATTTGCTGGTACGAGACAAAGTTATTACATCGTTTTGTAGCATATTTGTAGTTATTTCAATTCACTACGATAATGTTTCATTAAAAAAAAAAAAAACGTGCGAATTTCTGATGTATGAGATTTCTTTCTACTGGACTGTATACATTTTAGGTCAGAATCAGAGACGATTCTTTTTTTTTTTTGACAATTGAGTCCTCTCCAGGAACGTATCGTCGACTTGCACTCTGGTTTAGTTAGTCCACTTTCAAATTCAAACTGGCTGGACTAAACAAGATTGGATTCTTAGAGACATATATATATATAGCTATAACGTATTAATATAGGTTTTCATTTCTACTAGAATGTGAAACATATTTAGTTATTTAAAAAAAAAAAAAATTGCCAATTTATCAGTATATGCTTTATGTTCCAATTGTCCACACACTATTCAACCATGAATGATGAACCTAAAAGCGAGTTTGAAAAATTAAACAACAAATAGATACGCTTTACATGTGAAAGCCAATATCTCTGACTTTCCTACGTTACTGTTTACTATTTTTGGTCGAAGTATTAGCTAGATACGTCTTTTTGGAATCTGACAGTGGAAATGGCATATAGATAGACATATATGATTACATACACATATTCAGTATTAATGTGTATATATGTGGACATATATAGCTATATGAGTGGCTATATATATCATCATCAGGTGGCCAGGTGCATGCCCTTAGTCTCTGTGAACGCTGAGATGTGTATGAAAAGAGTCATGACTATACGTTTAGTGTCATAGCAAATCAATAATAGTGGATGGTCAGTATGGTCAAAGCTTTTTGTCCTTATAGCTTTTGGTTGTATAATGCGACTATCACAATAAGGCTGCATGTGTTTTCAAACCCCTTCCGATGTCGACATTTCACCAATTCACGATATTTCTTTTCTGTGCATGTATTCCCTCGTTGTTCATGACCGCGAAAGTAAAAACAAATAATGAAAATATCAAATTTTTGTTTTCAGTTTTAACTCTAGAAACCCATAAAGTTCAGTATTGAATCCGAAAGTGTAAAAACCATTCTTTGGGGATAAATGTGAATTAGCATACCAAAGGAACAGTTTGCTTACAACACTTTGGCGAAGCTACTTTGTTTCTAAGAGGTTCAACAGAACAATAGGAAAGCCTAATTGAAACATGTAAGCATTTGCAAATCAACCAATTCAATTACGCACAGGCGAACCAGTGGAATAAAAGATTAAAGGCCCTTTGATACCTGCGATTTAGGAGAATTTCCTTTACGCATTGATCGATTTTAACAACTCTATGCTGAAGAGGAGTTACCATTGTTCAGCCTATAGTCATCTCCTTCCACATGAAGAATATCGTTGCTTGCACCGTAAGACGCTTTTGTAAACTTATTTTGGATATCGTTTAAATTGCGTGATAGACGAAATTTAAACAACAATTATCAGAAACGGTTAAATAATCGGTTTACTATTGATGATGGTCTATGGACTATGGTTCATGTATGATTAAATAATTGTATGTTTATTTGTGTACATATATACATATCATAAAGAGAATTTCAAGTATACAAGGTGTGGAAGAGAAACAGGTGGTTTTCATTTTTACCGAATATATTTTTGTTTCTCATAATATTTATTTATCTATTTTTAAGATCCATCCTTTTGAAGAATATGATCCATCATTTTGAAGCAAATAATACGAAGAGCTTGAAAGACATCGGCTCCGCTTCATATTTGTAAAAATGATATCCTTTAAATAAAGCAAATGTAAACATATGATGAAATGTTAAAGTTCCAATTCTAACGTCGTAATGAAAAGAGTTAAACATTGGCCAAGTTGGAATCCACTTATAGAAAGTATATTATTAAAAAAGACAAAACTAGAAGGAAAATAAAAAAAACAAAACCGAACACATGGGTGAGGCAGAAAAAAAAGAAGACAATAAGACAGTTCCAAAGAGTTATAAGTGTTGTCAAATTCAACTGATCACTTCCCCCACTTTATATGAACGTGGAATGGGTTCCATTTTGCCTTTCCCTTCAATCCCTTTCATTGGCTGACTCTTAGCTCTCTACGCTTATATTAGTTAATTGTAATTATTTGATTAAACCTTCAAATCGCAATTATTGGTGATCAATGAGTCTCTTCACACCACAAATCTCATAATTTTATGTATAATATATTATTAACCACGTTAAGATGAGATACGTCTTCCAGTGTCATATATCTACACAAGGAATCTAATCTAAATAAATATTAAAATTTTTAATTATATATGCATACGCTTACATCAAATGCAATAATAACTTTTATATTCCGCCAAAATATTGGAATTGTATATATGTATATTAAGTACCAATTGTGTCACAGATTATGTGGATCTTGGCGGTAATAATGAATCGCGTGGAGGAGCTCAGATTCAATGTCGATTTATTTATAAAAGGTTCATGTAGACTCTAGAAGTTATTAATATTCTATATATTCGCTTATACCATATATAATTGGTGTCCATGATCAAAACTTAAAGAGTTTACTGTTATTTCTTCTTCTACTGTTTTTGATAAAAACCAGTCTGACGACAAGCAAGTATGTATATGGGTAAGAAGAGTTTTTTTTTTTTTTAGTTAATTTGAAAAATAAATAAAAAACAGGAGAAGAAGAAATAACAGTAAACAAAATTTAAAGTTGTCAGACTGTTGAGGGTTAAGAAGAGAGATTGATTTACTTTTTGAGGAGCTCTCGTAGTTTTGGCACGTTTCCGCGGTGGGGACTGGTCCCTGCTTTGAGGGTCGAGCTTTCTATAAGTGTGTAGAGCATTTTATCACTATATTCACTTTGTTTAATTATAACTCTTTTTTTTTGTTTAGTTATTACTTATATACATCTACTATATTTTATCACTACATTCACTCTGTTCATTATTTTTTATGCACTAGAAGCATATATCTCGATCGTTTATGATCTTATTTAATATTATATAGATAATATCCTTAATATTATGCAGACATTGTTTTTACGTGCATTTTTATACATTCGATTTACATATATATTTATAAAAGGATTTGATAGGTATCTTTAACATCAAAAGAGGAACCTAGATTAAAACCAAAAAAGAAAAATGAGAAATTAGATGTGGTCATCGTGATAACTATTATATGACTACATGCCAATTGTTCTGACTAGATGTATGCGTACAGCATACCTGTAAAAAATATATATGGGATCTCTGCCTAACTCGTGTACCAATGAATATATACGATAAAATAAATGCGTCACATGGGAACCCCTTGAAAAGGAGATTGCCATAACAATGGGGAGCCAAATTACTGTATACGTGTCTGTCGAAAGTATCAAAACATGACTTGTGTAAGAACCAAGCAAATATATATATATATATATATTTTTTTTTTTTTTGTAAAAAGCAAATATATATTTCATAAATCATACTGCATTAAATTATTAGTAATACATGTGGAAATTAAACATATATATCAGCTTTAAGAGAAACACATTCACATATAATAATACACACTATGAGAGTCACGTGACTACGGGTTCCACATTATTTGGGGTGGCGGAAAATATTTCCGTTATTTTCCGCATTATTAAGAAGCCCGCAAGTGATTGGGTTCATCTTCTGTAATGTCATTAAGCTTTACACTAAATTAATCCATTGCCAAATTTGATTGGGTCCAGTTATTGTTTACGAAATTTTAATTAAAGAGCGCCCATAACAAAATGTACTACTTGCATATAACTTGACGTACTTCAAGCATCTTCTTTTCACTGTCTCCAGTACTACTACATGGCGGTTAAAAAAAAGAGAGAAAAAAACACTTTACATGATTTATCCGAAAATGGGTCAATTTTGAAGAGGATAATCCTGAAGCTGACAATTTACGCAACCCAAACGTACGAAGCTCTGACTTTGAGATGAGAACATATGTTTTTTTCAGTATTTTCCTAAAATTCTCCTTTTTTTCTCATTCCTAAATTTCTCCTTAAACGAGAAGTTATTTAACTTACTAGATTTACCTTTTTAGTTGTCCTCTTTGTATGTCAAAGCAAGAATAATTTGATAACAGGGTATATAGCTCATCAATGTTAGTCACTAGTTATTTAACAAGGATTTTTTAAAATATCAGCACGAGTGGACATCTCACCAGTTGCAACCTTAGTTATATTAGAGAGTCTGATTCTTAGTCATAACAAAGATAAGATGAAAAACATAGTCAAAAGATTTTTTTTAAAAAAAAAAAATGCTCAAAGATAAACTCGTATATCACATTAACAAAGATATGTAGGAATTTGTCTCCTCCGAATTCGATTTGGTGAGTCCACATAATTATTTCAGATTAATGAATGAGAAATCTACATACGTCGTTCTACACCTGAATTCACATGGAAATAAAAAAACTAACGTGAACCCCATAAGATCGCCAAAAATAGAATCGGGTCGAGAAAAACTCGGACGTATTTTTGTTCAGACAAATCTCCCAATTTCTTTCTAAATATTGACTAAAAACAAATCTAAGGTCATTTTCCGTTTCTCTTACAAGACCAGGTCAACAGGCGATAGCCATAGACAAAAAAAGGACAAACGAAGAACCAAAAAACAGAGAGAGAGAGAGAGAGAGAGGAAACAAAAAAAAAAATCAAGTATTGACAGAAGAGAAGAGAACAGAAGACAAACCCACCACCAAGTCTATTGACAATTGTACATCGATTCGAGAAGAGAAAAAAAAAAATTAAAAAACATTCTTCTTCCTTTTGTTAATAATCTTAACCTAGTTTGATCATAATGCCATTTTGTATAAAGTTATTGAATCAAGAACAGGACACGCAACAAAAGAAGCTCCCTCCATCTCCTCTATCTTCTTAACAATGATGTCCTTGTCTTCTTCAATTACCAAACGTTGAGAGCTCTGTTTCGCTATTATATTCCAATCCTCCTCCTACATTACCCTTTCCTGGGGTGGTGTGATTGTTTGCTCCTCGACAGGGTTTCGGTTATATAAAGCTACGGAAGAATGTCGGAAAATCCGGTGGAGAAAAGGTCGCGTTGTGGGTTGTTGGGTTTAGTGTTTGGTAGACGTGGCTTGTGGTCCAAGAAATGTAACACGGACCATGGTAGCCATAAAAGCACAATGAGTAGCAGCAACGCCTCCTCTGCTACTGCTACCACTGCTAACATTCAGTTCACCAAATCTCCAGGTACCGAATTAAACCCCAAAAAGCTTCAAGATCAAAGAGTTTCACCTGAACCTCTCCAGATGCAGAACCAGATACAGAGACCACAACCCTCATCGAATCCATACCCTAATAACCATCATAATGGTAACTACCAACAGAGTAATAATCCAGGACCGGTCCAACAACAAGCAAAGAAAGTGCCAAGGGAAGCCATCGGTTTATCAGGTGAACTAGAGAGCATGATCATGGATAATCAGAAAGCAAAAGGGAAGAATGGCTCCATGGTTAGAGCATCTTCAAGCAATGTGATGTTGTTTGGCAATCTTGGGAACTTGAAGCAGCCTGGAGCAGCGGTTGGGAATCAGAAAACTGTTCAGAACAATGGATATGGTAGTGCTGGTGGAGGGTATGGGACGAGGAAGACGATGGAAGAGGAAATACGGACATCGGTTGCACCTGCGGACTCTGTTTCTAATAATAACCAAGATCAATCAGGAACTTTGTGCAGAGCGATTTCCACGCGAATGGATCCGGAAACGTTGAAAATAATGGGGAATGAAGATTACAAAAACGGGAATTTCGCAGAGGCCTTAGCTTTGTATGACGCTGCAATAGCCATCGATCCGAAGAAGGCTGCGTATCGTAGCAACAAAAGCGCGGCTTTAACGGCGTTGGGGAGGATCCTTGAAGCAGTATTTGAGTGTAGAGAAGCAATCAGAATGGAGCCTCATTACCATAGAGCACACCATCGCTTGGCTAACTTGTACCTCAGGTAATCTCATCAAAAACCCTACCTTGCAACTCACACAAACGCACATATTCTCATAAACTTTTTTTTTTTTTTTTTTTGGAAATCAAATAGGTTAGGAGAGGTGGAGAAGTCAATATATCATTTCAAGCATTCGGGTCCAGAAGCAGACCAAGAAGACATTTTGAAGGCTAAAACGGTACAAACACATCTCAACAAATGCACAGAGGCCAAAAGATTGCGAGATTGGAACACTCTGATCAAAGAAACGGAAAACACCATAGCTTCAGGCGCCGATGCAGCTCCTCAAGTTTATGCATTGCAAGCAGAGGCCTTTCTAAAGAGTTACAGACATCAAGAGGCCGATCATGCTTTGTCTAGATGTCCTGTTTTCGATGTGGAAATGAGCACCAAATATTACGGACCGATCGGTTACGCCGGTTTCTTGGTCGTCTGGGCTCAGGTTCACATGTCTTCCGGCAGGTTTGTTCTCTTCGAAAACCAAACCGGAACAAAAACTTTCGAATGTCTACTGGTCATGGTTAGATGACTAAAGCCTTGCTTAACCGGTTTTGGATCAAAACGGTTTTTGTTCAATCAGATTCGGAGAGGCCGTGGAGGCGATTCAACGAGCGAGCAAGCTGGATGGGAACAACAGGGAAGTGAGTATGGTTCTCCGGCGTGCGCAGGCGGTTACGGCGGCGCGGTCTAAAGGCAACGATTTTTTCAAAGCCGGAAGATTTCAAGAAGCAAGCGCGGCTTATGGAGAAGGATTAGACCACGACTCGAGAAACTCAGTCTTGCTATGTAACCGAGCGGCTTGTCTCTCCAAAATGGGCCAATACGATAGAGCCGTTGAGGACTCCACGACGGCACTCGCCGTCCGTCCTGGCTACGCCAAGGCTCGACTCAGAAGAGCCGATTGTAACGCTAAGGTAAACTATGGGTTAATGTGGGCTTTTCTGCAATTAATTAGTATAATAAGTGCCAAAATCGTGAATATTGTTATTTATGTTTTTTTTTTGTTTTTGCAGCTTGGGAATTGGGAATCGGCTATTGGAGATTACGAGATACTTAAAAAAGAGACACCGGAAGACGAGGAAGTGATCAGAGGATTGTCGGAGGCTCAGAAGCAGCTCGTGAAACGCCGTGGCCATGACTCTTGAAACCTCCCGGCGATTAAAACAAAACCCCTGAGATCGATCGGGAAATTACAGACTGAGTTGGGTCTTGTCGTTTTTGTTTTTGTTTTTTTTGGCCGAATGCCGGTAAAAAATGAGAATTTTAATGTCAATCAGAAACCGAATTTTTCAGGCGAATTTCTAATTTCTATCTCGGTGTAAATACAAACAGTTTGAGCTGCAGACGTTAATTAAATAATACTACCTTAGAACAAAGATTACAACTTTTACTATAACATTTATATTCCAAGATGATTTTTTTTTTTGGGCTCTATATTGCATTTGATAGTTAGTTTTCTAGGTAAAACTTAGCCGACTTGAAGACGGAGATGAAGAAGATAATATAATTGATATGTAAGACTTTAAATTTACCTCTTATATATATATGCAAAGCAAGATAGTTATGTTTTTGAGAAGGCGATCTTTCTCTCTACATATTAGAGACAAGCCCATGTAGCAGAGCAAGTAGAAGAAGAGAGTTAAATAATCTCATGGAAGAGAAGCTGCATGTTGCTGCTGCTGATGATGTTTTGGAAGGAGTTTGACCTGCAATTGCTGGTGAAACCGCATGGCCTCTGCTTTGCTGCTCCTCTGTTGGCAATGGATATGGCGATGAAGTGCTTTCCGGTGAAGCCTGAGGCGGCGCTATCTTATCCTCTTGACCTGCCGATTTTTTGAGATTTAGCTATGGATCCTTTAGAGGTCTTAATCATCAGTAAAATAATGTTCTGTTAAATTGAAATCTCACATTTGGAGGCTGACCAGCCTAGCTTCATATTCTCTCTATCGAAAACCATTCGATACCCTCTCATGTAGTTCTCTACAAAAAAAAAAAAAAAGAAAGAAGATAAGTCTAATTCATGGAGACATTGGTCTGAGGATGTAAGAGAGAAAAGAGAGAATGTGAATAAGGCTATAACATACGTCCTATGCTTCCTATGCCTTCTTGTCCACTAGAATTGATAGGCAAGCAAAATTGGACAACCCCCTGAAAATTTGATTTCATCAAAATCTAAATCTTGTTTTCAAGCATGAATCATACATGTGTATATATATATGGAAATGGTCTAACCTCACTTTGTTCGAGTCCAAACAAAGGTTTGTGAATCACGAATGTGTTATTGTATGAAAACTTGAGTTTGATGGCTGGTACATTTGGCTCAACACTAATCCATCAAACAAAAAGGAAATCGAAAAATAAACATTAGATGAGAAAAATCAATACATAAAACTAAAGCAGGAAGCTTCTTTCTCTATGTTGTGTACCTAGTTTCATAGCAATAATCCCATGGGCCGTCTTTGACCCTCTTAATCGTAGCGTTTATATGACTGTCAATCTCAAGTGCAACTTCTCTGTATATTTCTTCTGGTAGGAATGTAAATGACTGTCCACTGTCGATAAGGGTTCTGAAACTCGTCTGCTTTAGACACGAGTTGCCGATACAACAAGCCTCCACACCCACAATATAGGCTACACTGTAAACAACAGAAGTTGCTTATTATGAGTAAAAGCTGTTCTAAACTAGTTAAAAACCTGAAGCACAGAAGATCATTCAATTGTCATTACTATTCGTTGTTAAGCGGAAGGAATTTTGTTGATTGTTGCATCGATGGTCCCATGTCACCGAAGTAAATTCTTCCTGAATCTTCCTCGTCAAAGCACATCGAGAAGGAGTTTCGCATGAGTCCTGCTTTAGAAAGAAAACTTGGAACCGAGATTTCTCCAAGTCCCAAACCCATCAAACCATCTGGAGCAACCCCATTCAAGTATTCACCACTTTGCTTCTTACCACATCTGCCATATGAAGACACACTTATTCAATACAAATCTCGGAACACTTATAAACATCGCCACATACAAAAGTGAAAGTAAAAACTCACCCTACAACCACTCGAGCCTTGACAGAGGAGGAAGCGTTCATCAATCTATTGTTTGTATGATATGCAAGATGTAAGATATCCTCCACAAGTAATCCAGAGCTCGAGGTGTTTTCACTAGCGTAGTTAGCAGTATAAGGGCATTGATCCCTCGGGGTCTCACAGTTTGAAGCCGATTCACACAGCTTATGGCTGCACGAAAACACCTTGCTGGTGCTTGATCTTGATGGATTATACTCGTTCAAATCTTTGGTAGCCTGCAGAATATGTGCCCCCAAACACGAGGAAGCATCTGCCAATCAATCAATTGGAAATAAGCACTAAACAGGTCATCAATTTTCACTAACTGGACACATAAGCAGCATTCTTATCATTCATATCTCACATACCAGGCTGCTATAGTAAGTGGATGTTAAAGGAGCGCATTGCACACAGTTGCAAGGAATCCAAAGAAGGTCACTTCCAGAATCTAAAGCCACAAGAAACGATACACTCGGAGTCCCTATGTCGATCCACGTGTAGTGTAGCCTGAGTAAAAAACCATCAAATACAAAATTCATACAAGGCAGCTACTAATCTACAAAGCTCATAACTTATTGTACCTAAACTTTTACTTCGGGATCGAATCTAAAGGTACAAACTTTAGAAATTTTAATAAAAAAAAAAGAGGTACTTTATCATTTTAGTGAGAAAAGTAAAAGAAACCTACCATCCAAAGTAATTTCCAGTAGAAATCGTTTTGCTTCCTTGTGATGGAACAAGGGACTGAAACTTGGCACCAAGATTCATTCTCTGTCTTCTGAAATCGCTACTCGCGAGCAACCGATAATACTCCGAGCTCCGCTTCTCCGGCAACGATTCCGACGAGGTCAAAGTCTTAATCGACGCTCTGCCTTCGTCGGAGAAGCGATGGATAAGCCTTGAGGAGAACACTGAGGCCAGACTCTCCTCTGTGGCTAGAGCAAGAACACAGAAGAGTAAAAAAGCAGATCGTGACGACATTTCTCGAGCTAGGGTTTTACTGAGGCAGGAACAAGTTTCCAGATTAAAGGACCCAGCACCGTTATCGAAGAGCGAAATATCTTAGTGAAATTCGTTTTTTTTCAATCGAAGTGTATGTATAGAAGTGATATAGATGTGTGTGATTGTGAATGTTGGTCGTCAGGAGAGAGTGAGAGACAGTGAGAGAGTGTGAGAGAGAAGGAGAAGCTTAACGGGAAGAAAGTATAGTTGTACAATGACGTAATTACCCCGAGCGGTGTACTTTACACGTGTTGTCAATCATTTGTCCGGTTTGGTTTCGTTCAAATTACGGTTTTATCTTAATCCTCAACCAACAAAAATATGGTTAACGGAAAAAAGAACTGGGTCGTTAAACTCGTTTAACCAAAAGAGATATATGGTTTAAAATCGGTTCGGTATTGTTGGTTGTTTGTTGTCGACTACCTTTAGAAACCCTAATCTACATATAAAACCCAAAGCCGATAAAAAAAACCCCCCAGTGATTTGTCGGTAATATCGCCGGAAAATGGGTCACGGTAAGCACAGGCGATCAAGAGGAGGCAATTCGAATCCAGGCCAAACCAGTAGGACTTATAATATTGAAAGGTATAATTTTTTTTTTCTTTTCCGTGTCGAGCTTTCTCTCCTGGTTGATTATTTACGATTTCGTTGAAATTGCAGGGAAGATGAATCGCTTCCTCTTGATCAAGGTACTGAAACTTGAAATTTTGGTTTTTTTTGTTTGTGGTGTGTTGTTTGATCGGCTTTGATGTTAGATATAACAGTAATGTTGTTATTGGGTGATTTTCCGCAGAACCTGAGGATGAAGCACCAGGTCCAAAAGTTCAATTGGCAATGTGGGTATGCATGATTCCTTGCGTTTATGTTTATCCCTATCTTGAAAACAAGTAAATTTCGATGATCAAATTGCTTCAGTACTCACAACTTTAAGTATTGTCTTTTTTTGGTTTAGGATTTTGGTCAGTGTGATGCAAAGAGGTGCACAGGTCGTAAGCTTGCTAGATTTAACTTGTTAAAAGTAAGTATCGTGAGTTTATAGAGAATATACGTCATCTTCTTTCTAAAATGTGTCAATCTAAAATCCTGCTGCGATTGGTTTTGTAGGAATTACGGGTTAACACTGGCTTTGGAGGCGTTGTTTTAAGGTATCTCTACCTGTTCTTACTGTATCTTAGTGTCATTTGTAATGTCATTACTAAATACTAATGTAGATGACGCACCTTTAATCCTCTGTATTTATAATCTTAGTCTGTCTCTTATGTTTTCGGCAGTCCAGTTGGTAGACAATGTGTTTCCAAGGAAGACTACAGTCTGATTAAAAGAAAAGGATTAGCCGTTGTTGATTGTTCTTGGGCACGTCTAAGTGATGTCCCCTTTGTGAAGCTTCGTTGTACTGCTCCTCGCCTCTGTAAGAGCTCACAATCAATCACCTTGGTTATATAAATTGAATTGAGGATTTAGCCAACATCTCTACTTAACTTTTTCTTTTTTTGTTTACAATGGTTGTAGTGCCATGGTTAGTAGCAGCTAATCCAGTAAATTATGGGAGACCATGTGAGCTATCCTGTGTAGAAGCTTTATCTGCAGCTTTAATACTATGGTGAGCCATAACTTCTTCTCTTTCACCTACGGGTCGTACATTATCGGGTTATCTAATATACTCTATTTGTTTTCCAATCAGTGGGGAGGAGGAAACTGCAAATCTCTTGCTAGGGAAATTCAAATGGGGTCATGCCTTTTTGTCTCTCAACAAGTAACAATACTGAAGAAGCAACATATTCACATAATTTTGCTTTTTGATATAGGAATACTATTGGACTATCTGATTTTTATACTGGTTCTCATTTGCAGGGATATTCTAAAGGAGTACTCGAAATGCGAGAATAGTGCTGAAATCATCTCAGTTCAAAATTCTTGGCTTTCACAGCAAACTCAGGTCCCAAAACAACCACCTCCGCTTGAAGAGCGTAAGTCACACTTCTAAATCCCTCTCTCACTATCATAGACCAATCATCCCTCTCTCTCACTCGCTTCTGGTTTGTGTGTAGATGCTAGGAAAGAAGGTGAATCTGGTGGTGAATCGGAGGATGATGATGATGGTCTCCCTCCTCTGGAGAGAAACATGAACCATATCAAATTGGAAGACAGCGAGGAAGATGATGACAACAGCGAGTGAGAGGAATTTTTGAAAGGTTCCATCTTTGGGTTACACTAGGAGTACTGTTATTGAATCTTTTTGGGGATTGTTGTTGTGGAGTACAATACCATGTAGTATTTTTATTTTCTTTTCAATTAATAAATATATCTACTTCGTGTCTGAATATTGAAATATTTTAAAAATCAACACTTTTGTTTTCTTCCATGTCCAAAAAAATTGATAACTTTTTTAGGTCAAACAATATGAGAATATCTGAAAGTGAAAAATAAAATTGGAGAACAGGAAACAAAACCCCATCTAGTTTCGTAGGAAAAATAAAAATTACAACTTTCCTCTCTTCTCTGCGATTTTTGCTCCCCATTTCTCTCTAGGATCCACTTTGGCGTCAAACGTTGTCGTTTTGGTCATCCCCAAATCCTCCAAATCTGCTCCCGCCTGCGAGACTGTTCTAGGGTTTCTCCGTTCTCGCTCCGCCGCTCAATTTTTCCAGCTCCGCCGCATTCCTCTGTCGCCCAGCTCACCAGCTGTAACCAAATCCGTCTTCTCCCTCAAATTCGTAAACCACTCGGGAGATTTTAGCTTCTCCTTTCTCCAAAATTTCTCGTTTCTAGGGTTTTCTCTTTAGCTTGTATTTCACAGTTGTTGGTGGGATGAGTACTGTATTCAGTGAACAGATCCTGATTGATAAGCTCGCGAAGCTCAATAGCACTCAACAATCCATCGAAAGTATCCTTTGCTTCAAATTTTTATTTGCATATAGATTCTAAACATTTTGCTTAGATCTTGTAATTTTGCTATCTTATGTCAATTCCCGATTTTTGGTTTCTTGACTCTCTTGGGATAAGCTCTATCGCATTGGTGTATTTTCAATCGGGTCAAAGCTGAATTGATCGTTACGACATGGGAAAAGCAGTTTCACAGTACAGAGATGGATCAGAAAGTCCCTCTTTTGTATCTGGCCAATGATATTCTTCAGAACAGTAAGCGTCAGGGCAATGAGTTCGTGCAAGAGTTCTGGAATGTTCTTCCTAAGGCTGTCAAAGACATTGTTTCTCAGGGAGATGATCGTGGGAAAAAAGTGGTTTCGCGTTTGGTAAAACTCTGTTTCCGCTCTTTTGTTGGCGATTGTGTTCTTGCGAATGGGTTTTTGTTACTTTATCTGTCAATATTGGTGTGCAATTGTGTTTAAAGCTATTAAGTGTCTAAAACATGTTTTCTGAATCGTTTGATGTCAAAAGCATTTGGTTTCTTTGGTGCAAGTTATTTTCTTGATTCTGTAATATGCGCACTCTCATGTTTGGAGAAAGAACATATTTTGCGAATATGTGGTTTCGTACTCTCTGGAATGAGTTTGCGAAAAGGTTAGGAAGAAAATAGGAATTGTTTCTTCTGAATGTGAATTTTGTGTAGTTAAAACATGAATAAAGAATAATTATTCGCTAATTAAGATATTCTGTTTACATGATATTGTAGGTTGAGATATGGGAACAAAGAAGAGTGTTTGGATCCCGTTCGAAGAATCTTAGAGATGTGATGCTTGGAGAAGATGCTCCTCTGCCTCTTGATGTCAGCAAAAAGAGGCCCCGTGGATCCAAATCCTCGAAACGGGATTCAAAATCGTCTAGAATGGTAAAACACGAAACACCGAGATTTCCTTTTCTCCTTTGTTGATATCAGTCAAATTTCATTAGAGTTTGTTGTTTGTTTTTTTTTCTTTTGCTTTTGTAACCAGAAACTACCAAGTGGAAGTGTGGCTGAGAAGATAGCATCAGCATATTATTTGGTTGTTGCAGAAAACTCAAATGAAGAAGCTGAGATGAATAAATGCAAGTCTGCAGTTAAACGAATCAGGAAGATGGAGAAAGATGTTGAAGAAGCCTGCTCTACTGGTAACAATCTGGTTTTTACTAACCATCTGGGATTGCCAACCACATGCGCTCGTTTTTTTTCTTCTCTAAATCCAGTGAAAATCATATGTTTTTGTCTCTCCAGCAAAAGACGACCCGAAGAGAAAATCATTGGCGAAAGAATTGGAAGAAGAAGAATACCTTTTGAGACAATGTATTGAGAAACTTCAATCTGTTCAAGGAAGTAGAACTTCTCTTGTTAACCAGCTTAAAGACGCACTACGCGAACAGGTACTAATGACTTTTCGCACTTTGCCAAGTTTGTGAACTGTCTTTTCATTCTTTTGCTTGTTTTTGTCAGGAATCCGAACTGGAGAATCTTAAAGCTCAGATTCAGGTATGTATGTGTTTAATTCTCTACTGCATCTGTAGTCTCGTTTGTGACTTACCTGAGCTTACGCTCATGGACTGTTTTGTTTATCAGGTAGCACAAGAACAAACAGAAGAAGCTCAGAACATGCAGAAACGGCTAAACGATGAGGATTATGCATCAAAACCAACAACCGTTGCTCCAGGCTCAGCCTCTGCCACCACGACAACCGAGACAAATGACAACAACACAAAGTCTGGTCAAGCATCAAAAATGACGCCTGCTTCTATTGCTGCGATGCTCACAGCATCTACCTCATCACATATGATCATGCAATCTGTTCTGTCTTCATTCGCAGCTGAAGCAACAAAGACTTCTGGTCTATCCAAATCAGAGAGCACAGTCCCTGTTTCAGACACTAATGCTTTTGTCCCTTCTTACAACAACTCCCAGAACCAGACACCCACCACACAAGGTCAGTATCATGTTATCCCTAATCCAGCAGCACCACCACCACAGTTCCTAAAACCGCCGGTGATGACCAATCCTTATGCCTTTGGTAACATTCCGTTAATGCCACCTGGACTTCCGCCGCCACCACCACCACCACCACATATGATAGGTAATCAACAGCCTCAAATCCCTCAGTCGAATTCAGCTCAACAATCTCAACAAGGCCCAAATTTCCAGCAACCGGGAATAATGTATTATGGAGCTCCACACCATTCTTAAACTTTAGAAATGATGTTAGTTGATAGCTTTAGATATAGTTCTGACCCTTTTTATCTGCTGAAATGTGGTTTTTATGATATGTTGTTGGGTCGAATCAAAGTGGAAATATTGTTCCTCATGTTGTAGAAATACGTTCACCTTTTCCATTACAGATATTTGTACCACAAAGCTTTTTTACAACATAATGCAATAATTCTCCCTAATTCCTCCGCGTATGTGTATATGTGTATCCGAACCTACTCACTCAAGCATGAGGACATAAGATTCCATTATCGGGTCTGCACAATCTCTTACATTCGTTTTCGTAATAAACCGTCTTTAAACCCGAACCTGATTAGCCCTTTTTCATTAAAGCCTTCTTCTGGAGAAAATCTTTGAACCAAAGGGGCATATGGTACATAATCGCCATGAGAGTTGAGTACCTGCCTGAAGAGAACCAGGCGGGCGGGTTCTTCTTTAGCACTGCAGCTACGGTGTCTTTGGCGAATGTTTCTGCAGGAGTTGGCTTCATCCTCTGTGAGATAAATGCTCTCTCCCTGATAGCTTCTTCGTAAGGCTTGTATAGTTTCAGCTCAGGCATTTTGTTGAAGGTTGCAACAGCTGAGTTTGCTATGTTTGTCCGTATTCCTCCTGGGACAACATTGATGACATCAATGCCAAAGGGCCCGAGCTCCAACCTGCGTTTAACTGGAACCATTACAAACGATTGCAGAAACAACTATATACAATCTACTCATGAACATCGAGAATCATACACCTAACTCAACATCAGATTTTCGTCCTCGGAAATGATATTCAATTCTAAATCCATACCTGAGTGTATCGGTAAGAGCATGAATAGCAGCTTTGGTTGCAGTATAGACCCCAGCCCATGGACCTGGTGCCATAACAGTGATACTTCCAACGTTCACAATCTTTCCCTTTTTCTTAGACACCATGTGAGGTACAACGGCTTGAGTCATCCTCATGGAACCTGCATCGCCATAAATTAACGTCTTCGAAAGTTTCTTCTCCTAAGTCACTAACACGAAGATCAATACCGTCCCAAGTTTCTTCTACATGAGCAAGTGTTCGAGTTCCATGACTAGATATAAGAAAAACAATCTAACCTTTTCCACAATCAGTACTTGAAATGGAATTATACACAATCTGATGAATCTAATGATAGAAATCGAATTCAAAAAATCCAATTTACCAAAGACATTGGTGTTGAATGTGTTTTCCATGGCGGAAATCGGGATCTCCGCCAGAGGTCCGACGCACTGAACGCCGGCGTTGTTGACAAGAACGTCGATTTGGCCGAACTTATCAATAACACTCGATAAGACTTTGCTCACGCTTTGCTCCGATTGTACATCAAGCTCTTGCACGAACAACCTCGGATCCTGCTCCAGATCCGTCATCGTGCTCCGTGATCGGCTCGTCGCCACCACACGACAACCTTTCACAGAGAACTCACGCGCCAGCGCATGGCCGATCCCTCCCTGCGAGCAACCCGTTATCAGAACCACCGGACTTTCGTCGCCACTTTCCATTTTAGAGCTCTCTCCAAGTTTCCGATTAATCAGCACCACAATGGATGGATTTGCTAAGTCTATAATAGTTTTGATATTTACAAAAAAAATGATATTTTATAATAAAATTTAAATGAATCGGATTTGGCTGAGTTTTCCGAGAATTTGTGCCTCGAACTTTACACATCACAATTCACAATAGTATATAATGGCACAAAAAATATTTGTGATTATCATAGACGTCGCCAGAAAACTTATATCTTATGATTCTTCCCCAGATGTTTCTAAACTTAACGGTTCTTCCCCACAAGTTTCTAAACCTATGAGTATTACACACAACTTTCTTTCTTTTTTGGTTCAAACCCACAACTTTCTTAAGTTTACGTATAATAAGATAAATATTCACATTGTTCTAAATTTTACAATTGTTCCCCACAAGTTCCTACTTTTTGTGACCATCCCCCCCAAGCTCCTAAATTTCAAGATATTTTTATTTGTTTGTTAATCGTTAATTATCTCTTCTAAACACTGACAATTAGAAAATCAGATTTGATTAATTTATTAATTTACAGATCGACTAATCTTATACATATATCGCCAAAAAAAAAAAAATTGTGATAAAGGAAAACAAAAAAAACAAAAAAAGAGAAGAAAATTTGTGAAGATGAATAGTTAAGCAGAGAAGAAGCCATTGGAGACAGCAAGAGCAAACTGAGATTTAGTTTCAAATTTCCTCTTCAAACTCTCAATCTTCTTCTTCTCCTCAGTCCCAGACATCACCATTTTCGCCGGAAAATCATTCCACCATCCAACCTCCGCCGAGTACGACGGATTCTCCGCCGTTGGCTTCACCCTACGTTCGTATTCCTCCGCCACTAATAGTGCTATGTCCGCCATTGAATCAATAACTTGATCTTACTCTATTGGTTACTCCTATTTCTATGCCAAAAAACACATTCAACACGTAAGCTATTTATATTGCTTTAATCTGCGGTTTCGGATAAGGATTATTCCATTTTCTTTTATTATTTTAAGGGGGAAAAATGTTTGTTTAATTGTATTTAATCATAATTGATTGTATTGGTTTGGTGGTTTCTAGATAAGGTTGGCTTAGGTCGGTTTCTTGATATCATGTGCACCGATGAAGTATAATATTATTTTATACTATATATATACTTGTTTCAATTAATCACGAAATGCATCAAAATTTAAGAAAAAAATAATTCAACAAAGGTAAAACATGTTGTTAATAATTCTCCTCTCCCAGCGAAACGCTCTTAAACAAATCTTGAATAAATTACTTTTAATTTTATTAATTTTGCGTCTCAACGACTCAACCAAGTTCTTACACAAATTGAATTTGAAAAGGAAAAAAATGTAAAATCGGTTCGCGCGCAAAAGGGAAAAAGTGAAAGTAGTTCGAAGATGGCACGCCGGTTTACCTTATACCAGTAGCCGGTGAACCGAACATTTGACTCGGTTTTGTCTGTGCACATTCGTATCGTGAACTATTATTTGTCATGATTTGTTACTACTGGTTAGCGTTAACCAATTTTTTGGGGTAAATTGTGGACGTTTATGTAGAAGTAGATTACACAGCAATTTAACTAAAAGCGACCAGGAATGCATGTTGCTGCAATATTTGTTGGGCCCTGATATTATTTCCAAATTTATGAAATTAGCCCAATATGGGAAAGATAGTGTAACTCAACATTGTTTTCCAAAACATTTCTGGTTTTCATTCCAAAATATTCAATCTATGGCCACTCTCTTAGTCCACGACAATTCTCTAGAAACTAATAAACAAAAACCGGATGTTAAGCAGAACACGTTTCCGGTGGAATTCTGGATATAAATAAATTATATTATTATTGAAAAATAGTCAGCTTTTACCAGAAGGGAATAAAGAAGGGGAAGTAAAAGAAGAAGATATTTAGACTATGTAGTCAAAAGGAACGAAAAGGAAAGAGAAGCAAAGGAAAGAGGAAGAAAAGGAAGTTATCTTAGAGTGATGATATATACTACGTAGTTCCCATTTGTCTTGGGATAATGTCGCAAAGACATCCTCAACTTTCTTCTTTACCTTCTTTTTCTTTTGTCCCTACAAAAGTATATAGTTGATTTTATTTGTTCAAACAAGTACATTTATGTATAAATTATTAGTTGTGAGTTATCCACATGATTTATCATCTGATTCATATGACATTTTTGTAAGAAAATTAAGAATGTAAACCATGTAAGTCTAATTGAATAGAGCTACTTCGATTGAAAAAAAGAAAATATCTTGCATTGATATAAGGGTATAACATAAAATGCTTTATTTTTTTATCGACAATTCATCTTCCACGGTTGAGCTAGCTAGTGAAACGAATTACAGGGTCGTGAAACTTTCATATTGATTTCGAATTGAGTTAGCCAAATATACGAATGAAACATCAGAGTGACGATAGCCATTCTTAGTGCCAAACCACTTTTTCACAATGTCGCACTTGAGAATAAATCCACAAATAGACAAACGCAAAAAGCAAAGTCTGCTGCGTCATGTCTCATTAATTCATCTTTCTTTCGAATTTTATTTTCATTGTTATTGTTCTTTGTATTCGAATATTTGTTGTAATATTTAAATACGTGGATAGGATGTTATCACAAATCCATCAACCAATTAATAAAACTCTTAAAATGGAATGAATGGCTATGTCCACCACCACATGATTTGTACACCATTGCATATAAATATCATTTCCACGAAATTTTATAATGAAAGTAATTTCAGGCAAACAATGCGTGAACAAGATTCATATATGCATAGTTTAAGGAGAAGGGAAAGTTGATAATATGTACTGTTTATACAGCAAAATGCACCAAATCACATATATACTGAATCAGTATCCATTGTGATTAAAATAATAAGCAAAGAAGCAAGTGGGTAGAAACACTTGTGGTCACACAAACGTGTCTCGTATTGGACTTGAAGAGCCAATCGGTTCTAATCATATATTGTGATATTTCTTTATCAGGTGATTCTTTCGCTTCGCATAATTAAACTTCATTTTACTTTTTCAGTATATAACATAACAAAAACGAACAAGACGAATATGTGTATCTATATTTAGTTGGCATCACATATATATAAATCATACCTAGATTCTAATAGATTTTCTTCAATTACGTATTTTTTGTTTATTTTTTACTACAGCTAAGCCATCACTTTTTTTTTTTTATGAACAACTTATTATGTAAATTTTTTAGCATACACATATTATTATACATTTTAGATAATCAGATTAAATAATAACGAAATCAGTTGCTTGTTTTGCTTCTTATAGAACCTCTCAGCCAACATTTGATCCGAGTGATCACTATCTGTCCCGTGGCCGCGGGTTCGATTTCCTACAAAGTAGAAAAATGGGAAAAAAAACTGTGTTTTAATGATTTTGCATAAATATTCTACGTACATCCGTTTATATCATTTCCCTTTATTTTATGTGTTGTCGTCACCCTTGCGATGCGACCATGTCACGTACTTTGTTTGATCGAGTGAGTGTATATATAGGAAATAGCCGTTATAATGTAATCCTCGACAGAGTTAAACTGCTTTACATTCCCGCGACAAATCTTACCACAATGATTGATTTTAGTTCTTGCCACGCGCTTCTACTTAGCGCGTGTGCCGTCACAATGAGTTACCACCACTGACGGGATTCGCCGCTAAGTTTGACGTCACAAGTTTAGAAGTTAGGAAGATATAATTTTCACACAGAGAAAAATGTATTATTAGTGAACAATAAAAAAGAGGGGGAAAAAAATGGAAAAACAAAAATTCCAATCTACCTGGTGCGCACATCAGCGAGATAGTAGAGAGTGGAGGAGATATGACAAAATGAGAGAAGGACAAAAAAGGAACAAGAGGAAGCTCTTAATTTAGTATTCGACGAAATAAAAGAATATACGGTAAAAAGAAGAATAGCATTCATGGAAAAGGAAAAAGAAAAAAGAAGAATAACATTCATGTAAAAGATGGTTTTTGACTCTCAGTGTTTTTACTAAATGGCTTGAAGACAACAATCACCGAAGAACCCACCAAAAGAAAGAAAAATATAAGTATTTATATTCCCAATTACATTTTATTAGAATTTAGAAATTTAAAAATTGTAAAGAACTTTTTTTTTTTTTGTAACAAAAATTGTAAAGAACTTAGTCAAAGGTCTCTCTTTTAAGTTGTCGTGTTCTCGCATGATTCTTCTTCCTCTTATTCTTCTTCAAGATGACAAGACCAGAGAAAGAGAGTTTTTCATCCCTTCTGTTGTCCGACCGATTTGAACAGCGGATTTCTGGGCTTTGCGTCTGATTTCGTCACTGAAAGTGAAAAAAGTCTCTTTGCTTTTCATGGTTTCCGCGCGCCCTTTTGAAGCCCTTTTGACGCTAAAGACGAGAAGAAGGTTCGGTTTCGGGTCTCTGTTCTTCCTGGATTTTGATTTATTTAGGTTGATTTCTGAGCAATTCGTATTTCATGCTTTAATGGAAAATAAGTACGAAATCTGGTTAGTTCTATACGATGAACGATGAAACTCTCCGATTCTCTATTCTCTCTAATAAACTTTGATTTTTCTGGATTTTGAGTTTATCATCGTTATTTGGGTAACTGATTAAGATATGTTTCATGGTTGGCTATGTGAAAATTGGCTCTGTATCTCTTCTTCTCCGAGCTGCCTTTAATCGAATCTTGACTTTTGTGGGAGAAACAGAATGTTATATCAAATCATTGAGAGAGTAATGGAATATTTTTCCTTATTGGGAGGTGTTTAAGATGGTCCACCATTAGTGGCTAAAAGATGGAGACACAGTGAGATCCAATAACTGACACTGACATTAGAGTTTGGTATGTTTATTAGGAATTGCAATTAGAGGTAAAAGAATAGGGTTTTTCGGGTGTATATGAGTCCGTTGTTTTGACTTATCAATGGAGCTTATAGAAGTAGGGAAGAGGTAGCGTTGACGAATTGGGTGATGGAAAATGACTTAAAGGCCACAACTTTTCTTTTCTTTTCTTTTTGTAGCTGAATATCACTTACACAACTCTCAAATTGTGATCTTGTTTTATTAGCAATTCTTAATTTTGTTCTTGAGGTTTTGGTTAATGAAGTTTGTGTACTTTTTTTTTGTTTTTGCCAGTTGAGGAAACATGAATACAACTTCAACACATTTTGTTACACCGAGAAGGTTTGAAATCTACGAGCCCCTCAACCAAATCGGTATGTGGGAAGAAAGCTTCAAGAACAATGGAGGCATGTATACGCCTAACTCTATCATAATCCCAACAAATGAGAAACCAGACAGCTTGGTACTTCAAATTTTATTATCTGTCTCTGATATATTCTTTCTCTCATTTGAATTCAGAAACTAATGTTTGCTTTTCATTTTTGTTCAGTCAGAGGATACTTCTCATGGAACAGAAGGAACTACTCCTCACAAGTTTGACCAAGAGGCTTCAACATCTAGACATCCTGATAAGGTAAGTTAGAGAAGAAGCTCATTTGGTTATCTTAATTAATTGGAGCTTTTGTAATTAAATCTTTCATATCTTCACAGGTACAGAGACGGCTTGCACAGAATCGCGAGGCAGCTAGGAAAAGTCGTTTGCGCAAGAAAGTACGAGACTTTTATGTTCTTTGCAAGTCGTGATATAGTTATGTGTTTGTTTTGTTATACTTAGTTTTAAAATCTTGTCTTGCAGGCTTATGTTCAGCAGCTAGAGACAAGCCGGTTGAAGTTAATTCAATTAGAGCAAGAACTCGATCGTGCTAGACAACAGGTTTGCAAAAATTCGTTTTCATTTTCCCTACTAAAGTATCTTAGTTGATATAATGATTTATGAACATAATGTTGAAGGGTTTCTATGTGGGAAACGGAGTAGATACTAATGCTCTTGGTTTCTCAGATAACATAAGCTCAGGTTTGAATCTTTCTTTAACCTTTTTGGCTATTTCCTAATTATCTCTCTCAAAATCAATTTTCTTATTCATCCGTTTTTTTTGTTGTTGTGTTAGGGATTGTTGCATTTGAGATGGAATATGGACATTGGGTGGAAGAACAGAACAGGCAAATATCCGAACTAAGAACGGTTTTACACGGACAAGTTAGTGATGTAGAGCTTCGTTCGCTAGTTGAAACTGCCATGAAACATTACGTTCAACTCTTCCGAATGAAATCAGCCGCTGCAAAAATCGATGTCTTTTACATCATGTCTGGAATGTGGAAAACTTCAGCAGAGCGGTTTTTCTTGTGGATAGGCGGATTTAGACCCTCTGAGCTTCTCAAGGTAATTGTGAAAAAAACCCGTCTCTGATACATAAAAATACTTATATGGTTTTCATTCAATATGGATTTTCTTTGGTTGTTTAGGTTCTGTTGCCGCATTTTGATCCTTTGACGGATCAACAAGTATTAAATGTATGTAATTTGAGGAAATCATGTCAACAAGCGGAAGATGCGGTATCTCAAGGTATGGAGAAACTGCAACATACATTAACAGAGAGTGTAGCAGCCGGGAAACTCGGTGAAGGAAGTTATATTCCTCAAATAACTTGTGCTATGGAGAGGTTGGAGGCTTTGGTCAGCTTTGTAAATCATGTAAGAAAAGAAAGATATTTGACAAAGAAAACTAATGAGAGATTTTATTAGGACAAGAAGTGGTTTCTTGACTTGTGTTGTTAAACTGTTGTGTTGTGTAGGCTGATCATCTGAGACATGAGACACTGCAACAGATGCATCGGATCTTAACCACGAGACAAGCGGCTAGGGGATTGTTAGCGTTAGGTGAGTATTTCCAACGGCTCAGAGCTTTAAGTTCGAGTTGGGCGACTCGGCAACGTGAACCAACGTAATTAAGGAGATTAATTAGATTTCAAGAAAGGATTGAGACTGTTAAGAAATCAAGAATAGAATAAGCTGGTGAGTGGGTTTTGGACAAGACACAAGAACAGAACAAGCTGGTGTTCGATGATGATGATGGTGACGTCTTGCGGTTAATGGAAATGTCTGAGGATGGAAAGTTGTAATTATGATCAGCAACGTAAAGTTTGTAGCTTTAGAAACCAAGGGTTTTTGTTTTGTTTTTATGTAATACTATTATTAAGATTATGTATGTATGATTTGCTTGTGGGGGTATATATGATCACACAGTATTGTTTTCGTATGATCACATCCTTACTTATATTATCGATTTCCAAGCTCCAAGTCGGTCGTCCACAGCTTCTTCTCTAGGGCACGGCGATTTTTGCTGTTCGGTCTAAAGAAAAAAAAAAATGTTGGCAAAAGGAGTGGTCGGAGATGATGATGGGCTAACTCCAGAATTGGTATTTCTGATAGAGAGAACGGCACGTTTGGTTACCGTATCGGGGTGGGTAACTGAGGATTATCTCAAGAACAGTGAAGATGCAATGATGTACAACTTTTTGAAGGACTCAGACCCTAGAAACGCTTTTTACCTGAAAAAGTGCTCTGAATACAGTTCCATATACAATCACAATTACGAACCAAATGCTTCTCGTCCCTGCGTATGTATTGCAAACCTCCTTCGTTTTCCAAAGGATGCCATCTTTGGCCTGCTGGAGTTTGATATTGTTAAGGGTGTTATTAAGATCGCAGCGCAGTTTGTGGCGCGGTTTGGGATGTATTCTTTATGCCATTTGAGCAAGAGATGGGATCTATTACATTATCTGGCTAGAACAGACGCTTTTGATCGGTATGTTGCTGCGTATATGCCTGAGGCTATCATTGATTTGCTTGCTTTTACGAGTGGTGTTGAATGTTTTGCTCGCATTGACTTTGACGCTACGACCATCCCTCCACATGAACCACTTTCAGTGATTATGAATCAATTCGGTAAGCCCCAGAAGAAGAATCATGATGATGATCTTGTACTGCCTCCTCATCCACCTTCTTCAAGCGCCATGATGATATATCACTCGTGGAACTTAGTATTATTAAGCTCACAGCGCAGTTTCATGCACATTATGAGCAGGTTTTTCTAGACGCTTTGATGAAGAGAGTGGTTATGAAACCACAGTTTGAGTTTTTGTATTTTCGTCCGTTTCCGACGGAGAAAGAGGCTAAGGACCCTCAGCTTCAATTTATGGAGCAAACTCGAAGCAGGTGCAAACTTTTCCATAGGCTTGTTAATATCTGTTCCAGAGTATTGAAGACAGTTTCCAGAAAGAAGCTGCTGAGGAAGAGTTATATGCCGACCGTTCTTGATGCTTTCTTCGCACGTCTTCAATTGGAGAAGCTGGAGGATAAGGTGGAGGAGAAGGCTATGGTTGATTTGCATGCTTTTGTGAGTGGTGGTGTTGACTATTTTGCTTACATGGAGGACCTTGACTATCCTGCTACTATCATGCCACCACATGAACGCCCTTCAGTGATGATGATGAACGGGCCTCCACTGGGATCTAGGTCCACTGAATACCGTGCAAGGGATCAGGAAGTGTCTTCACCGATTAGATTTAGAAGGAAATTGCCTCTGCCTGATCTAAGAGGACTTATATCCACTGGAAGTGGGATCACTGTCAAGGAGCTTGCTATTATTAAGCTCACAGCTCAGTTTTATGCAATGTTTGGGCGTATATTTTTGCGTGGTGTGAAAGAAAGATTGCGTAAGGACCCTCTGTTTAACTTCTTTGGGAAATCTGACTGCCGAACCATTTTTTTCACGAGGGTTGTTCTTGCGTACGAAGAAGTATTAAAGGGTTCCGAAAAGCTGGGCGAAAGTGATGATGGGAGTGGAGTCGGCTATAGCTATACCCACTGATTGGCATGCTTTTACGAGTGGTGTTGACTGTTTTGCTTGCTTGGACATTGAAGGGTATTCTGCTAACATGCCACCACCTCAACGCCTCTCAGTGATGATTGACCATCCAACACTGATGCAGCCTGATATGACTGTTCAGCTTGCTCAGAATGAAGGTGCTACACATGAGTGTGTAGGGGATCATGCACAATCCGATCTTGAGCCTCCTCCTTCAAAACGCGGCTATTGTTGTCGACCTGAGTAGATCGAACTCAAGGAGCTTGGTGTTATGAAGCTCACAGCTCTGTTTGTGGCGCGTTATGGGATGCGTTTTTGGTGGGGTTTGATGAAGAAAGTAGATAAGAAACCTCAGTTTAAGTTTATGGAGCCAAGTGATGGCAAGTTCAGTGTTTATAATCGGATTCTTGTAGCGTATGAAGGAGTAATATGGGCTTGCGATAATGTTTGCACAGCGACCGTTCTTGGTGCTTTTTTCCGCTGTCTTCAATTGGAGATGCTGGAGGAGGGAACTGAGACGGATATGATTGATTTGCATGCTTTTGTGAGTGGTGTTGCCTGGTTTGGTCAAGTGGAGGATGACGACTATTCTACTTTCATGCCACATCCTCAACTCCTTTCATTAATGTCGAACCGGCTGATTCCGGGATCTCGTCTTTTTTATCCTTATCCTTCAATGGGGATGATGCAACCTGCACCACCTATGCCTGGAATGTCTCCTCACCCACCACAGGAGGAACCAGAGCCAAAGAGACAAAAGTTGCAAGAGTCAGCTCTTGTTCCACAAGACCGCTTTATCTCTCAACACCCGGTAATGTTTTCTTCGAATGCTTACTGTCTTTTTGTTTTGTTTTGTTGTTTTTTTTCGTACGACTTGACTTTGTATCTAACTAGTAGTCACACATTTTCAGGGTCCCTCTAGGGTCAGGAGGAGCAGGTGGGATTGAGATCACAGTGCAGTCGTTATGGGAAAAAAGTGGCAAGTTTGAAGGAGAAAATATCAGCGAGGTAGTGGAGACATGACAAATGAGAGCGAGGAGTAAAAAAGAATAAGAAGAAACAGATTTTGAATTTAGTAATGGAAAGAAAAGACATACATATACGGTAAAAAGAAGAAGGGATAACATTCAAATAAAAGTTGGTTTTTGAGTCAGTGTATTTGCTTATTGCTTGAAGACAACAAGAACCCCACCCAACAACTAACTCCTTGAATGTAAGAAAATCACAAAATCATTCCATTGTTCAGGAACTTCTGTTAGAAAATTATATTTAATTAACCAAATGAGCTAAAGAAAATGTTTCAAAAAATCAATAACCAAACTCAAATCTCTGTCAGAATCAATGGGATTAGTTTTTCTTCTACCTTTACAAGGAAGGGAAAATTAATCAACAAAATATAAATGTAAGAACACCTGAGGATCAACTACTAGAGAATCATAAAACCAGGAAGAAGAAGAAGAAGAAGAAGAAGAAAAAAAAATGGGATGATGGATGAAGAGAAATCCATGGAGATATACAGAAAAAAAAAAATCTCAAGCAGAAATTGAGCTAAGATGATCAAGAACCTGTCTGATGTTAGGCCTTTCATTTACAGAGACAATGCACCTGATTGCAACAGAGAGTGCATCCTCCATTGCCTTTGAGAACTCTTCCCCACCTGCAATGTCTCTGTCTATGCAATCCATTCTCCTGCCTTCTTGATCACACAACCGCACCCAATCTGTCAGATCAACGGCTCCTGATTGACCCGAGATTATGTCACCCGCGCTCCGTCTAGTCAAAAGCTCCATAAGAATCACCCCAAACGCATAGACATCGGATTTAAGCGTTGGCACCGGTTTGGAAGCTGAGGCAAGTTCAGGAGCAGAGTAACCGAGTGCACTCATGTTTAGTATCTGTTCCGCTACACCAGACGAACTCATGAGACGGTGAATACAGTAATCGGTTAATTGCACAGAATTTTCAGGACTTGTGAGGATTATGTTTGTTGGCTTTAAGTTCCCGTGTGGCATTGCTCTATCATGAAGGTAAAGAAGGCATTGCGCCACTTCAACCGCAACTCTTAGTCTTTGGGTGAATGACATCGGAGAATACCTCCGAGGAGTAGTTTCTGGAAAGAAAAACGATTACTTTAGCTCAAACAAGATTTTAGAGAAAAGCGTAAATAGGAGTAAAAGAGACTAATTGAAAGAGCTTCTAACCGTATAGATGCATGGCCAAGCTTTCTCCTCTCATGTAATCAGAAAGGAGAAGCCTTTCTTGTTCTCTGGGACCCCAATAGTAAGCTCGTAACGGGACAATGTTTGGATGTTTTAAAGAACCGATCTTTTTAGCTTCCTTTGCAAAGTCTTTTTTATGCCTCACGAGTCCGACTCTCAACCATTTCACGGTTAACATATGTCCGTTATCCAGTGTTGCTTTGTATAGTGTTCCATGGCTGCTTCTACCCAGAACTTCTGCAGGAGCCCGAGATAACTCTTCTGCAGTGAGTTTTAGTGAAACATCTAAAAAGAAGAGTTCTCCAGCCAATCGATCGGGTGAGTAAACATCTAACATCACAGGCTGGTCGCTAAAACGGGGTGAGGAGGATAATGGAGAACCTCCTGAAGAAGACCTTCGTCCAGATGTTGCAGGATAATCATCAAGGAGGTTAGGGATTGCAGTGGCTGAGGTAGCGGGTAACCCCTGCTCAGATATTTCAGCTTCAGATCCAGGTATCCCAGATAACGACCTTGAATTTGCGGTGAGCAAGTGGTCATTCGAGAAGCTCAAAGATGATGACTGGTGTTCTGCATTTGAGCTGAAGTTGAGAAAGGAGGGCCGAGAAGAGCGTCCAGACTTTACGTCTCTAGTCGTGGCTTGGTCAGTAAATCCACTCCTCCCATGAAAGTCCTTGAGCTGTGTTCGATGATAGGCAAACAAGACAAAAAGAATCATAATAGCAGCTCCAACTGAAGCAACAATAATTGCTATTCTTATGCTAAGCTTCGAATGATGTTCTTTCCCATGTAAAGCCAGTTCACGATTAGAATCCGTTGGAATCCCACCTGGGAGAATAAGCTTGGAGTTACCAGGATAAAATGATGAATGTGGGTAGCTTCTCAGGTCTTCTGGAATGATACCTGATAGGTCATTATAGGACACATTAAATCTCACCATTCGGGAAGGAAGCTTGTCGGGAATTTGACCCTTAAAAGTATTGTTTGACAAGTCAAGGTACTCAAGGCCACTAAGCTTGTTTAGGTCGCTTGGAAGTTCCCCAGACAGCTTATTATTGGCAAGATTCAGCACCCTGATTCTTTCCATTGTACCAATATCTCCCGGTAACATACCCGTCAAAGAATTGGTTGAGAGATCAAGCAACTCCATCTGTGGATAAGAAGTTAGAGCCAAAAGTTCACTTGCACGTGACCCTCGAAAAGGAATTGGCCCCTCCAAGTTATTCATGGAAAGATTCAGACTTCTCAAGCTTGCAAAAGTGAAGAAACTTTGTGGAATGGAGCCGCTGAACTTATTTGAGCTGAGATCAATCACAGAGTATTGGGAAGCCCCTGAATCATCCCACAGAGAAGGCAAGCTACCATCGACGGAGTTATTTCTGATGCTCAACACGCTTAATCTTGAAAATGCAGAAGTGAAGTTTGGCAAGCTACCCGACAAGCTGTTTGAGCTCAGATCAAGAAAATCCGGAGTAGCTTCCCACTTTCGAACAACAGACACATCGCCAGAGAAGGTATTCCCACTCAGATCTATCACTAAACCGCTTCTCAAAGTCGATGGAAGATCCCCAGACAGGCCGTTAGAGGAAAGATTCAACATAGTTAAAGTTGTTGAATTGATTCCACTAATTGATCCTGCGCTTGAATAAAAAGAAACTACTTTAATTTACATATAGCAGTATAGCACCAACAGTATACAGAAGCCTAAGACAATACGACACAAATGTCTAGTCAAGACCAGGAAATCAGTCACATCACTAATCAACGAATAGTTGTATTACAAAATCCCCTAAAGTAGCAAAATTCAGCATTTTTGGCAAATCTTGCTCGCTCAGGAAAAATGGTAGAAAACAAGAAAAGGGTGTAAATTTCAACTCACCTGTAAACCCATTTCGACTGAGATCTAGCTCCCGCAACGGAATCGAGCTCTGCAGCAACTCTTCAGGCACTGTACCGAATAACTGGTTACGCGCAAGCTTCAAGATCTTCAAATTCGGCTGTGATCCAAAACGCGGCAACTCTCCGTTGATCTGGTTGTTTTCTAGGTCGAGAATCTCGAGATTCTTGAACAAAGCCATGGAATCCTCGCCGAAAAACCCGCCGTTCAACGCATTGTGGCTCAAGTTCAAGTGACGGAGAGTGTTGGAGATGCTCGAGATGTTGTCCATGGACAAAGAAAAGCCGCCATGGAAGCGATTGCAGCTCAAGTCAACGAACTCCACGTTCTTGAGCTCAGTGAAAATCTCTCCTACGTCTCCCCAAATCTCATTTCTGTGCAAATCCAGAGATCTTAGCTGCTGAAGGTTCCGGAAACCACTCGGAAAACCGCCTTGGAACTTGTTAGCAGACAAATTGAGGTAATTCAAACCCCAAAGATCCGAGATCCGACCCGGAATGGGTCCATAGAATCCGTTATCTGACAGATCTAAGTGCTGAAGCGACGAAATCCCTCCCAAGGAAGGCACGACGCGACCCGAGAAGCTGTTCCCGGAGAGAGTGAGGTTACGAAGAGAGGTGAGACCAGTAAGAGTGCTGAATTTGAGTTCGCCGGAGAGACCAAGCCGGTCGAGATTAATGGCGACGATTGAACCGGTTTCGGCGTCGCAGGAGATGCCGGGCCAGCCATCGGGGCAAGTAGAGGGATCAGAGAGGCTGCTTGTGGCGGACCATGAGATGCGTTGGTTAGACTTCTCGTCGCGGATCCCTTTCCGGAACTCGAGTAGAGATCGGAGCTCCAAGTCGGTAACGGCGTTAGCACCGAGGAGTAGTGGGAGGAAGCAGAAAGCGAGAGTGAGAAAATGACTCATTTAGCCCCGAAGAATCTCTCCCCAGGAGAAAATGCAAAAATGGAGAAAAACCCCTAAGGATTCATATCCGAGAGAGAGAGACAGGGAGACGGAGATTTAGGGATTGTACTCGAAACCCTAGAATCTGGAAATTGGAAGAGCGAAGAAGAGAGAGAGAGAGAAAGAGAGAGAGAGTGTGTGTGTGTGTCTTTGTGCTTGTGTTTGTGTGAGAGAGGAGAGAGAGTGTTCGAGGTTTTCCAGAAAATCGAATTTTTTATATTATTTAAATTTTCTTTTCTTAGTTCTTTATTTATATGGTAATTGTTTTTCGCCAACACAATTATCGAAAAAAAAACCCAATAATTTACGTTTAATTACTTTTAGTTTTTTTTTTTCAGGTACTACAGGCTTTCTCCGATTTTATATTTCAATTCTGTTTTCACTATTTTAAATTGCAATTACATTACGGTTCTTTTGTTCATCATCCAAACATAGCAAAAGCAGGTTGGATTGTTAGAGATGAAAAGGGAACATTCCGAAGTGCAGGACAAGCTATTGGAGGAAGATGTAACACAGCTTTAGAGAGTGAATTCCAAGCACTCATAATCTCAATGCAATACTGTTGGAGCAGAGGGTATGACCGCATAATCTTCGAAGGAGACAACCAAAGTCTGGTGGATATAATAAGAGGTGCTAAGCTGTGCTTCACAAATTACAATTGGCTACGAGAAGTCAGATTTTGGGCAACAAAGTTTAAGCACATTTCCTTTGAATGGGTAAAGAGAACGGGAAACAAACCTGCAGATACACTAGCAAAGCAACCTATTCCCAATACTTCCATCTATCATAGTTTCTCTTATGTTCCTTTATGTATTGTAAACGATTTACACTCTGACCACGTATCATCCAGTTAATATCAATAAAGTAGATAAAAAAAAAAAAAATTGCAATTACATTACATGTTCAAACCGTCTTCTACTGTATTTTGTTTCCTACTATCTCGATGCAATTCTATTTTCTACAATTGTCAATTAGATTACAAACATTTTTCAATCACCTAGTTTTCTTTGACCTGATTACCAAATTAGTTAGACATGTCACTAAACGTTACGCTAATTGCGTCAAGTCGATATCACTAATTAGCATTATGTCTAATACTCCTGTTATGACACATAGCTTAAGAAACATACTCTACTGCATATCTCTCTCGTTAATATATGACGGACGAGAGTCGAGAGGCTATATGCCTATATGTGTACTTAAGAATCAAAGTTCCGGATATAAAGTATATCAAAATGTTTGTTAAAAAGATCTACGGATAAAATATCATAAAAGAACGAAAAGAAAGGTGGAAAGGAGGAGGAAGGAAGAAAAAAACCGTTAAATATTAGCGGCAAAGGAGAAGTGGTGGAATATGATTAGTTTGCAGATAAGTAAAAAACAGACTGGAAAAGACAATGGCATGTCGTTGAGTCGCTCTGTCTTTTTTTTTTTCCTTTTCTTTTTTTTTTAAAGAAAATTCGTGCCAACCTTCTTCACATCACATGCAGCATACGTGACGGAGAGTGTAACGCCGTACTCCTAAAACGGGACGGAGAAAGAAGTAACGTTGTGTGTCATCATACGACTCTATGGACCGACCTGTCAATGTTATTTGCTAAAAAAGAATAAAATTCTAGTTTAATAATAGTATTGCTTTTTCCCCTAATCACATACATTATCGAATAATTTAGTCACAGCCATTATTACCCTATTATTTTTCATCGATTGAAATTAAATAATTAAGTAACGAAAACTCTAATTGAAAAGCTCTTAGATTTTTCCTTTACGTTTTGACAAAAATAACTTTTTAACATTCCCGTAAACCCAATTGACTGTGTTTTATACCCCCAAATAAAAAATTACGTTCTGACTAAAATCCATGGTTATTTAGTATAACACCCTACGTTAATATGCTCGGGTGGAAAATAATATTTTTGAAAATCTATGTCAACTGTTTGACTGATAGATATATTCATTTGGAAAATATATATCTAACTTGTCGCGAATTTTATTGATATGCTAAATATAAACATAAATCTTTAGGGGTCAATTGTTTTGGTCCTTTTTAGAATGTCATTTTCTCTAATCATAAAATGAAAGATGCCAAATGTATTCTACTTTGTCTATATACAGAATATTTTTATGTCAATCTCTCTTTCTATAAGATACTGGGTCCCCCAAAATAATACTATTTTGTTATTGTCGAAACTTGACAACTAGCTCTGGAAATCATTAAGATAAATTCTAGAATAACTTGCAAATTAAGGAAAAATAAAAGGGTACAATTATAAACTGCCGTCTCCAAATTTTCCACAAACAAAAATTTTGGTTCCCGTGACTCTTCTAACATTTTAAGTATTTCTGGAGGAGAATACAAACTCATACAAGAAAAGACATTTTTTCGTTCAAACTTGTCTCTTTAACTATAATAGCTCAAAGAGTTTCTGAGAGCACCTGTGATTCAATGAATTTGATTTCTGTTGAAGCTGCCAAGAAAAGCTATTCTGGGTTCTGAAAACTAGATATCAAAGGACTTTATGAGCCTTTCCATAGTATCGGTTAATGAACGGCGACTGCAAAACATAAATAAGCAAACCAGATTAACATATTTGAAGAACTTTGTAACAACGATTTTTTATTTATGTTTTTTAAATACCATTTTCCTGAATGATTTACTGAAACCGGATTAAAGCAATTGAAGAAGTCGGTTTTTGTTTTCATTATTGTTCTTACCTTGACGCCAGAGACATCTGGTGTATCTGGTGAAGGCTGAGGGTAGAATTTGTAGAACTTCATACTTTGAAAGGCTTTCTTAGTCTCTTCACTCATTTCTTCTATTGCTCTCTTTCGAGCCTCTTTTGCCTGCAAGGACAACATCGTAAGCAGATAGTTTAATTGAATGTAGCTCACGTATATCATCTTGTGTTTGGTTTACAGTTTACCTCTCGATTAGCTTTCTTTGCTGCTCGAACTTGCTCTTTGACATATTCCTGAGAAAATAAAAAGCAAAGCACAATTATAATTAGAGAAATACACAACCGTCATGAACTAACTATTGAGTTACAGCTCCACTCACTTTGAACTCATCCTTTTGTTCTGCAGGTAAGGCTTCCTCTACAATCAGTTTCTCGACAAATTCCTGAGATAGATACACAAAAATCCATACAATGAATGCACGAACACACAAAGAAGGAGCAGTGCGAAGATGAAGAAGTAATCAAGTTTTATCGTTACAGAATAGCCATAGGCACACCTCAAGTTCGTCAAACTCCCAGTCAAATTCACATACAACCTGCACAAAACGAACATTGGAGCTTATTTATTAAAAAATGTGCCCTACCAAATCATTTCATGTAGACCTGTCACTTCCAACGCATTCATTACATGCCAGCAAACTTACCGGAGGTTCAGAGGGGAACATTATTTGGACCTCAGTACTCTGTTCAAATTCATCTTCCTTAAATGGTTGATAGAAATCTGCAGAATAAGAAAAGAAGAAGAAGAGATATTAAATTTTGTTATTGCGTACCACATACAAAAAAAGGAAAACAATAATACAGATAATCCACTACCAACACCTTCTGCAAATTTTAACTAGTATTAGGTAGTAGAGGAATAAAACTTACAAGGAAGGCAATACTCAAACTTCTTAACACGATCTTCCTTCATATGTCTGAGAGCAGCTCTGCAGATAAATGTACAAAGCTAAATTGAGTACACAAGAACTGGTAGATTCAATCAAATAATGGAACACAACTCATCACACTACCAAGTAGCTTATACGTGATGCAATGTTCCACGTTGTAATTTCAATCTTATATGTAATTGTAACTCAAAATCCCTTCCTAGCATGTGGCTACCGATTTTTTTTTTTTAAAAAAAATCTTATCAGTCATCTGACACATGTTTCTTACCTCCTCTGCGTACAGCCCAAGCTAAAAATTTGAAAGTTCATCCTATCAACTTGTCTATCTCTGCAAGAATAACAAAACAAAAGTCATTAGGAACTATTTGTAAACGCCCAAAGTACGAAGCCCAGAACATAACCTCCGTCTCTCTTCTCAATGATGTAACGTATAAACGTGGAACTCATTGTACCTTTTTTCAAACGGAATGTAAGGAACCCAATCCATTTTCATCTGCTTCATTGGAATGATTTCCTCCACTTCTCTCTGAACCGATTTTATTCCTATCTTATCAGAAGGTGGAAAGGGTGATTCAACCTGCACATATAGAATGGATAAATGATATATAATCTTACATCCAGAGATCAACAACGATAGCAAGCCAACGTTGTAGAGATTTAACAAGAACTTACAGCAACAACTGCTGGGACAAGGACAATCTTGTCTGCGCCTTTGTATGGGACTAACTGAGCTGTAACGATGAAAAGAGAAAATTAAGCAGAGACCAGAAGAAAAAGTTAAAGATAAAATAGAGAGCTTACTGCGCAGTCTGACAGATTTTAAGCAAATTAAAGAACCACAAGTGCTTAAGATGTATTATTCAAGATAAAAGATAAAGAGACAGCAAAAAAGAAGAACTAAATATATCTCCAACTATCGGTAATCAAAACAAGGAAAACAAAAGGCAAGGAAAACATCTTACGTTCTGTACAGCCAAAAAGAAAGACTTTCTTCCCGTAGAGGAATCCACCTTCCTCAAATGCTTCCTGACATACAGATGAACAAACATAAATATCAGGATATCGTCAACCCTTAAAAACTTGTCGACTCAGCAAAAATGGAGAATGTAATCAAAACAACTTACTTCAAGATTCTTAAAATCCCAATTGAATCCATAAACTGCATCTAATTTGTCCCACTGCCATCACAATTTAACAACCATAAGCATAGAATATCAATGGAGACAGTCACTCTAATGTTAAAGTCGAATTCCTCAACACACTATACCTCAGTTCCCACTGGAAATGCGGCCTTCCATAAACCCTCCTGAAAACACAGAACCCAAGCAGTAGCGTTACGAATAGAAACAATCCTTTGTTAACAAAATTTATTGAAAACAATATCATTCCATAGGAAATTTTCCTTCCACTAAATCTAGCTCGCCATGATATACCATATATGGCAAAAGACTAAGGAAGCATACCAGATTACGCGTCTCCTCAAAGTACTCAGGCTCTTCCTCTGGTTTGGTCGGTCGGGCTTTCTTGGCTCTCGGAGCCGGTTTATTCTCATCCTTCGTCTCAGCTTCCTTCTTCGTGGTTCTCTTCCGCTTACCACCACGACGAGCAGGTTGCTTCTCATCTTCCTTTATTTCATCCTGTTTCTGAGAAGGAGAAGCGTCTTTGACCTTATCCTCAGATTCAGGTTTCTCCGGTTTATCTTCCTCTTTGTCCTCCTGGCTCTCCTCCTGCGTTAATGAATCGGATTTTGCTTCCTCTTCGTCTTCCTGATTTCCCTTGACCTCTTTTCCATTCTCCTTCTCCTTGTCCTCCTCGACGGCGACGTCTTCCTTGGGCTGTTGGCTCTCCTCCTGCGTCGAGGCCTCAAGAGACTCAGCAATCACCTCGTCGTTCTGACTCTCGGAAACAGCACCTTTGCGACCTGCTTTCGAAGCACCCTTTCTCTTCGCTCCTTTCCTCATTGCACAATAGATTCTCAAAAACAAATAACAACGGCTTCGAGAAACCCTACTGATTCGCCGACGAAGCGATGCACGGAGATAGAGAGAGAGAAGGCGATGGATCTATGGCGGTGGATCCGGAATTTCGAATTTTCAGAAGACTCAAATTTGGGGTTTTTTTTTATTTATTGGTGTCTTTGTCCTGCTTGAAATCAACGCCTCTTCAGAAGAGGAAATAGGGTTTTTGATTTTTTTCCCCAAATGAATAAGGCGCCGGTTTGCGGAAAAAATTGTAAGGTCGAAAACTAAAATAATTTTAATTATTTTGAAATTTGGATTTTGGGGAAGTTTGACGAGCCTTGTGGAGGGTTCCATTCCGCTGCGGCGGAGTCCACCGTTTGTTAGTTAACTTTTGTTTTCTCTTAATTATCATTTATCAACAACAACTCACACACATTCTACAAACTGGGATCGAAATGTTGAATGAATTAATACAATAATAATAACACTAACACAAAGTTACAAACCACTAAACTGATCGCTTTTATATCTATTAGTAACATCTATATTTACACATAATTTATTTTACGATTTTCAATAGTTGATAGGGGACTTTAGATTGATTTATAAAAATCCTATAAATTTATCATAATTATGTTATTTACTATAGTTTTAAATCCTTCTCAAAATCGAAATGAAAGCATACCAAAGAAAATGAGATGACCACACATAAACGATACTAGAAATGTTCCTTGCTTCACCCATATACAATATGTTGTGAACAAAAAATCCACACATAAAAATGTACCTTGCTTCATCCAATAGATTTAGAACCAATTACAGGCCTATGGGCTGACACTACCAAACACTTAAAACAGAGATGACTTGATTCATAGATACAACCATATATGGAAATGAGTGAGTTGTGTGGACTCATTCAAGATCGGTTTGCTTGTGGGTGTAAACCACACAGTTCTCTAAGGGCTGTGAGATGCACGTGAGGATGTAACCCTTTTGAATCTGGTCTTCTTCAAGAAAAGAACCTTGTGACTGATCCACTTTTCCTGACACTATCTTCCCACAACACGTCCCACAAGTCCCTGACCTACACGAGTATGGTAGTTCCAGTCCCGCTTTCTCCGCCGACTCAAGTATGCAACTATCTTCGTTTACTTCTATCTCGTGCTCCTCGCCTCCCGGACTTATCAGTTTTATTGGGCTTTTCTAAGCCCATGTCCAACTCCCCTAATTAGTATGATATTGTCCGTTTTGGGCCCAACAGACAAAGCCTGCACGGATTTGGTTTTGGACTCCTTCCCAAAAGGCCTCATACTAATTAGAGTTGGACATTACTTATATACTAGACTATATTGGTCTAAACTTCCGATGTGGGACTTTGGATTGATTCTCAACAAGTTTCACTCTTCGAGACGCCGTTGTGCACACCTTCACACAATTGCCTCTCGAAGACAACACATACGCCTTCTTTACCCTTGTCGGAAGCTGAGCACATGATGGTGATGTTAACGGGCTTTTAATGATGCAAGAGAGTGCTTGATCCATCTCAGTTATGCTTTGGTTTGGTCGATCGAACCTGTGGAAGAACTAATCAAAACAAACTTATATACTGTTACATGATCTCATACATCAGCAGCGAAGAACATACATGTAACACGTGCATAAAGACGTTCTACGTGTCATCACAAACCTCCGAATCAACGTGGTGTTTTCATAACGCGATGGGGGGTGAAATTGTAGTTTAAAAAAATAGTAATGGGGTTCTTTTGTTAGTTAAAGCATATATAGAGGACTTAGCGTGAATTCTATTTTAGTGACATCCATTTTTTTTTTTTTTTTTTTTTTTTTTTTTTTTTTTTGTTATCCATCCATTGTTATCGACTTGAAAGCTTAACGATGGGTTTCTGAGTCTGACGAATAGAAGGAGACCCATCACCATCATTATGGTTTTCACTGCGAGATTGCAATCGCCCAATCCTGCAATCTTCAGCGATCCAATTTTCCATCGCGGGTTCGTCGAAAAGTACTTTTCGTTTCGCCGCCGGTACACTCTCCGGCAAGCTTCTCCGGCATTGCGATTCGCGAAGGTTACGGACTCAATCGGTTCTTCTTCTCCCTCTCAATTCTACTCGAATCCGAAGGAATCTTCCGATCCATCGGTGTCTTCCCGTCTAACGTCGTCCGTGGGACAGCCTCCTCTCCAGCTCTCTCAATGGACACTCTCGCAGAAACACTTCGTCTTGCTCAATGTCGTCGCCTGCGTAGTAAGTTCTCTGCGTTCGTCTTCGAGATCATGTCCTTAATTCCAGCTTCCGTAACCTGATTTCGCTCTTGGATTTAGTTTTTTTTTCTCGTCTAGGTCAAACAAATTATCTGCTTCTTTTGGATTCTTTTTTAGCTTAGCCGTAAAAATTTCTCAACCATGGAATCGTGATACCTTTTGATTCTAATTGCTCAATGAAGATCTGGAATTTTCATTTTGTTAACATGAGCTCTCTCTTATACACTTGCAGACAGCAGTTTCAGCATCATGGCTATTCTTGGCTGCAATTCCTACTCTTCTGGTTTGTTCTCAAACACTTGCTTCTTCTTTTTTCCCATAGATTCTACTGATTTGGGGTTGTTGATTTCTATGTAATTCGTGACATGTTGAAAAAAAAGGCTTTCAAGAAAGCAGCCGAGTCTCTTGAAAAGCTTTTGGATGTAACCAGAGAAGAGCTGCCAGATACAATGGCTGCTGTTCGCTTATCGGGAATGGAGATCAGTGACTTAACGATGGAGCTCAGTGATTTAGGGTTTGTTCTGTTTCCTCACATCCACCATGATTACCAATTCTCCATTTCATCTATAACTCTTCAGTACTGTGTTCTTATTTTTTGTAGCCAAGGCATCACTCAAGGTGTTAAAAGCTCAACACGTGCTATTCGCGTGGCTGAAGATAGACTAAGACGGCTAACAAACATGAATCCAGGTTTAGCCATTGCTTATAAACTCTTTTTTTCAGCTATGGACTTCACGGGTAACTCCATTTTTACTTCATCAGTAGCTTCAATGCAGGAGGTGATGCATCAAGCAAAGACAGAGAAAACAGAACCAAGGGTAGCTAAAGCAGCGAGGAACTTCAAGGAAGGGATCGTTAAGGGACGTTCTTTATGGCAATCGTTCTTCACAATCACTCGTTTCTCCAAAATCGCCACAAGCTATCTTGCAAAGCGAGCCAAGCAGTAGAAAGTGATCCATCACATCCCACTTTTTTCCTCAATTCTCTTACCCTTTTCTCAGAATCCTAGTCTAGCTCGAGTGTTACTAGCTTAAGAATAGTTTAGTTTGGTTGATATGAAACTATGAAGATGATCTTGATCTTGAGACGCAAAGCAAGATTCTTGTAGAGTAACTACTAAACAAAGATTATGCAATTCTAAAGTTTAAGACCCTAGCTACATGACGTAGTTGTTAACTCCACCTCGTTTCCCTGAGCTAACCGGCGGTTTTCTTCTCCGTGTACTCACCATGTTGAGACTTTTCGTTGAAATTTCGACGGGTGAAGCTTCTTCTTCCTCCTGTCACACAAAACCATAAGCTAAGCAGAAAAGATAAGAAAACAATCATTTAGGTAACAAAAAGAGAGAGAGAACCATCAGTTTTACAGTTCTTGCTTGAGCTTTCACCATGTCTGAAGAAGAGGAAGATGAGCGTCTGGGATTCAGACACCCGAAGAAAGCCACCACCGTTTGACTGATGAGCTTGCAACAATGTTTTTTGTTATCCCTCTCTTGCTGCATCTTCTCTGTCTTCGAATATTTCTCTTTGTACGACTCTCTCTAATCAAAATTTCCTATCTATCAAACCAAAAGATCATAAAAAAGCAGTAAGATGATAGAAAATCAGTAAGATAGATCCAACTTAATTTTTTGGTCCCTTTTTCTGTTTAGTGGCGATCTCTGTCTTTGTAGAGAAGCTGCTAGAAGAAAACCAAAAAAATTGATGGGTTCGATGAGCAATCCAATATCCAGTGAAATTGGTGGTTAATGGGGAAAACCTCAAGTCCGGTTAACTTGGTCCGAATTTTCTTTTTAAGTCCAAAAATCGATGTATACGTACTTGACCAAATTATGCCAAAGGGAAATATCAAATTTTTAAGGGATATCCAATTTTAAAATGAATAAAATCATTTAATTTGATGATATTCCGAATTTTTCATGTCTCTCCGACCATTTAATTTTATTCTCTTTTATTAAATGATTTACATATTCGAGGGTATAGCGGAATGTAATAAATAGATAGATATTTTTCTTCTTTTTAATGTATAGCACTATAGTATTAAATTGCATAACAGATAATAGTCCCACCTTATTCATTAACGTTCTTATATGTATTGAGAGCGAGACACCCCCACATGACTTCAGAATATACATGCAATTAATTTACATAACCAACACAATAGATTGATAGATCGATCAATTCAGTGGATTCGTAGATCTGTCACAGTAAGAGATCGAATTAATCGTTCAATAATTTATGTATTTGGTTTATTTTATCAAATTACCTTTTTATTTTCTTACAACTTCCTCACCAAATACCAATAGAAAATTCACATAGTCTCTTATTATTGTTTCTTAAGGGAAAAAAAGGTCTCGGAGAACTTACAATCTTTTTTTTCTAACAACTTATAATCTTCAAGATCACATTCTTATACTAATCAGAAGAAAATTTAAGCAAGAATTTATCCGTAAGTTATTATACTTAATTAGATAAAACTAGAAAGGCTTCTAGTTGATACCTCCAGGCTTGCCGGAACTGGCTCTCGACTTATTCAGTTGTTTTGGTTTCGCTGGAAGTCCCCTTGATGACACTTCCACAATCTCAACTTCTTCTTCATCTTCCTCCTCCTCTTCCTGTTGTGAAAAAAATTGATTATTGATTTTTATAAAATCACTGTTTTATAATTGATTATTGATTTCATAAAATCACTGTTCTATATAAATTAAGTTAATGGAGTGATGTGTCAGCACGAGGGTTAAAGAAAAGTTTTCGTCTGTGAGGTGTCAAAATCTTTTAAATTTAACAATTTGTTTATTAATTAAAAAAAAAATCCTTCTTTTCTACACCACCTAAAAGGCTAAAACTCATTTCGATTTCTACAGATTATTATTTTCAACTTAAATAAGTGCAACGATCAACATGTCAACTTACGCAATTCTTGGCCATAGCCATTGTCCAGGATGGAAAACTTATTGCAATAAACCATAGATACCATCATGTGGGAAATAATTATAATAGGAATCTAATGTTGAAAGACACGACATCTAATCACATCAACTTCACATATATCTGAAACAATAAATTTATTAATGATTGTTGATTACAGAAAGTAAACTTTACCTGAATATTATGATGAGAAGGAGATCGGAGACCGAAGAGCTTGAGTAAGAGAGATCGGAGAGTTTGGTGAATGAACTTAAAAGGGATCGAAATTCCTTCTTCTTCTTCTTCTTCTTCTTCTTCTTCTGGTATCCGCTTCCTACAACG